GGCAGACAAATAAAGCCTTTTGTAAATATCTGAACTTCAGGGCAGATAGACAAGTACGTTCAGCACCAAGAGTCTATTTGCTGAACTTGTATTCATCTGTAGATTGACAGAAAACCAAAACTGATCCATTATGTTGTACTGAGTTGGTCTGCAGGAGAAAAATGAGGCCTCAAAACATGACTTCTGACACTCACTGTGACTTGCAAGATAGAATAAAACACACTCCTCTAGAGGGCTTGGGGGGAAAGATCCACAAAAAAAGGACACCTGCTCAGTATTTCAGCTGTCTCATTTCTGACTGTCCTGCCACTGAACAAACACTCATCACTGGGGGTTTCACTGACCCTGCTGGTCCCCTCCACTGAGGCTGCATCCAAGGCAAATGATGCATCTGAAGAGTCTGTCTTTCTTAGTGAGGAAGTTCCCAGTCACACTGAGTTCTCAAATGATTCAGATTTGCAGAGTTGACCAGTGACCAAGAAGACATAGGTACTATGTGAAATTGAAGTTAATACAAGCTGGAAATTTGTTCGTACAGGAACAGAGTCAGACTGATCTCCTAAGGCAAATTTTCTGTTTTCCACAGTAATTTAATTTTAGTTTAATTTAGTTTTCTGCAACAGACCCTTGAAAGATTATAGCACACCTCAACTAAAAGGTACAAGCAGAAAAGCTTACAGTTCTTAATCTTACTGCCATCAATGAAAATCTTAATTTTGATTCCTGGACTGAAGAAGAAGGAAGCTCCAACTCTGCACCTTCTTCCCAAGAACAACTCAAGTCCCTCTTTCCTCTGTGTCTACATAAAAGTTTAACACCCATTAAAATATCACAGTTTCCTTGGCTTGTGACCTGTGGTGTCAAGGAAAAAATTGGAAAAAATTACCTGTCTTCCTGCATTATGTGGTTACTTTTAGGGACAGTGAGTATAAGACATATGAAAAATAAATCCTCAACCATGAAAATAACAGAGGAAACAAGCTTTATTTTTATTATTTGAAATTTTTGTGCGTGGTAAAGGTACACATTTGACTCCGGTTTTCCTACATTTTCAAGACAGAGTAATTTTTTTTTTTGTCAGCTAAAGCGTTATGAATACCATGGCACACAGGAAGCTAAAACTACCGCACACACGCACGCACACACACACACGCACACACACACAAGCACTTTGATGTGCATCTTTCATCCTTGACCTTAAGGAGAAAAAAATCTGTATTTAGCCTCATCGGGATTTTAAAAAAACCAAAACAACAAAAACATCATCATTGACAACAAAAAAACAAGTGAGAATAATATTTCATTATGAGTGCTGAGAGAGTGCAAGGCTTACACTTACACAAAACATATATTGACTTACAAAGATGGAATGTACAAAAACTTTTAAAAAAACATGAGAAAAAGAACTGGAAACACTCTAGAACTGGAAAGCTGCAGCATATCAACTGATAGAGATTTCTATCGGGGCTGCTGCCATACACAACACAACTTAGGGAACATGTCATAAAGCCAAAGGAAAAGCGACAGGGTTAAGGCTGTGTTGCTCACAAACATCAACTGAAGTGCTGTACATTCATCAGAAATAAAACCACCTTCCTAATGAAGGTTAGGAACCTTCTCACTCCATAGCACAAATACCTTTTGTACACTTTCCACAAACAGGTCAAATAATCACTGCTCACAGTTCTTGAAGAAAAGTTTGACTTTACATCATGATTTCATAACAAGCTGTCTCCCACAACTGAAAGTCATTTCTTTATAACAAACACAACATATTGGGCACTTATAGTTCTCATTATGGCAACACTAGATCCTTATTATAAAAAATATTAACATAAAAGCCCTCTAGCTTTTACAGAACAGATGAGCATTTACTAGTAAATAACACTCCATCTTCATGAGGCAAATGCTTGCCTAAACCATTTTCCTTTTATTTTTCAATTCATTGTTGCTGGTTTAGCCTATGTAAAACTCTCCTGTTGTTTATATTGGATTTATCTGAACAGATCTTTTTTTCCTATTCACAAGAAAATGAAAATACAGTTGGCCGGTTTGTCCTAAAATGCTCCATATGACACAAGATCTAATAACCTTTTGAGATTACTTTTGAGTTGAAGATTAGTTAAATGAAGCACATACTTTCACCATTCATGCTGTGCTGCTAGTCAATTAGCATTCCAGGGAAGTCAAGGGGACATTTGGTTATACCTGAAATCTGGCAGCAGCATGCCTATAAAGCCTTTAATAAATGCTAACAACTCAGCAAATCATGTAGTGCAATTCTGACCTTCCCTTAATTGGATGAGAAAAAAAGTCTGCCAGCTTTTAAATGCAGAATTTCTGCTTTGGTTGCTCTTTGTAAGGTTTATAAGCCAAGCATTTTAGAAAAGTTGGCTTCTGAAGCACACCGTAAAAGCACTGTGTTTCTCAGTTTCCCAGTGCCAGGCAGATAAGGTCAGACCTTGGAAGGGAATGCCCTATGCCACTAAACTTGAAATTGAAGTTGACAGCATTTGCTATCAGAAGTAACTTCAAATTAGTGAAACTCTTTAGGTGCTGCTCTGCTGATAATGTCTGAAAACCCAAAAGAGTACTCAATTTTACGAAAAAGTCCACAAAGCCCCTAATAACTTTGAGCTGGGTTTTGAGGGGGGTTATGTGCAGAATTCACTATTTCATCAGGATGCACTGCGTTCACAAGGGTTATCTAAAATCCTGGTAAACAGTGTGGACCAAAGGGCTGAAAAGCTTCTGAAGGAAAGTGTACACATGAAATAGCACAGTCTTAAGTATCTTTTTTGATATATGGGTTAGGATCTGATTTTCATGCTTCTCCAAGTTCCTGACAACAGAGGATTTGGCAAAGTTTTCTGAGGGGTAAACGTGCAAGTTTAGTAAAATCGTGTTCTAAAAATCCATATCAGGAATTAAATATGATTAACTGATAGCCACAGCACATTTTTTTAAAAAAATTATCTCAATCTGTGCAACCTCTTCTCTTTATCATTAAATACAGTTCAAATGCCTTTTCTTCACTGATGTGCCATTTATGGGTCTTCCAGTGTCAGAAAGTGTTATAAGGACACTTAGAATGAAATTTGATCTACAGCTTTGTTAAATTTTGATAGGACAGTTTATTTGTAATGACTGAGATACCATCTTCAGAATTTTAGGACAAACTCAGTTCAAGCAGAGGGTAGTTTGTTCTCTTAGTAATAACAAACTTGAGTTTTAATATTCATAAATGTTACCACCAGTTTCTTAGCTTCATTATACAGTCCTTAAACTTCATGCATGAAATATTTATTCCAACGAAATAAGGAAACTTATATTTGCACGAGAAATTGTAAATTGGTTCTATGTGCAAAAAATAAAGGAAAGAAGAGGAATATCTTTAGGAAACAGTAATTAAAAACCAGACAAACCCCTCATTTAAGAACCTTGGGGTCTGCACTTTTACAAGTCAAATGCAACTTTACAAAAAAACCATTAGTCTTCCTCAAATCCATGGAAACAACCACCTTAACATTTTAGAAATAAGACAAATACTTATAACAATAAATTTTATCAAAGATTTCTTTCCATTTTGCAAACATGCTTAAAATACTCCCTTGTTCCTCACCCAACGCCCTTTTGTTTCAAGGCCCTAAAAATGAGAAAAGAAAGACAGCACTTCCCAGGCTCTTGTAGGCATTGGCAGCAAGCTCACAGCTCCTCACACAACACTTAAAAGGGAGCACCACTCGATCTATATCAGGCTACAGTAGCAATTCAACCTTTGACCACTGGATATAGAAATAAGAATAAAGCCAATGCTACTTTAGAAAGGACAAGTTCGTACTTAAAAAACCCCCAATAAACCAAACATTAAAAACAGAACCATGCCTGTAAGTATTTCCAGTTAAATTAATACTTCAACAAAGAACACAGTAGAGAGATCTGGCAGAGGAAGAAAGGTAATTTTTCGGACTACTGCCATTGTCAAATGTCATACATACGTTCCAGTTTGCTGAAATAACCCACATTTACTTTTTTATTATTTTTATGTCAATCAGTCATACATACATACATACATACATACAAACAAATTGGAACAAATCTCACAGTCCTTGTTTTGTCCTCTAACAAAATTCCCTTTGATGAAGGACTTCAGGAATTGGTTCAAATTCATTTTTATTTGTAACATATTTTTTCTCACATAAAAACAAATAGCTTTGGTAACCCTTGGCTTTCCTATACAACCTCTGTTTACCACAGTTCCTTTGGTTGTATAATGTAGGTCCTCCACAGGGGTACTTCTCTGGCTTTCTGTCCTGTGTGAAGCTGCATTTTATTTTATAGGTTAATACAATGAGTTGCCGTAAGGAAACATGGCAATGAACACGTACGAAAGAGTGGCACACATGAGGTTAATTGACTTGACATTGTAATAACCCTGATCCTAATGAACTAGTTTGGTGTCAAAAGGTCTGTGGTTATACAGAAATTCCGCTCCCACTAATGTATCGCTACAATTAAGTTTTTCCAGCGCTCTAGAAATGTCAGGTCTCTGCAAAGTCCTTCCTGCACATTGAGCAAAGGAAGAGTGGAAAACGGCCGCACGAAACAATCCTTCATTAACTCCACACGAGTAGGGAATTTGCATTGATTCTCATAGTGCTAAACACTGAGCTGTGTTAGGTCTGACGGTTAGAGCTAGACGGATTTTGTGAGACTTAACCTTATACTAAAAGGACCTACTTGTTATACACAGTAAGACTGAAGAATGTTAAAAGTGTAATACCTACCATGATAATGAGATCTAGAAGATTCCCAGGATCACCTCCGGGTTAAATAACGTGTAAGAATGATACTTCTTTAAATTTGGAAGCTCTGAGCAGGAGCTATCCTTAGCAGTCATCAAAAAGCTTTGGGGACTTTTCCCAAACTTTTCCCATTTTTGCCTTATTAATTAATTCCAGTTTCATAGGTTGCAGTTTGTGTTTAATTTCACATTGTCTTTAAAAAACGAACACAAAGTAGGAGATATCCTGCACTGGATCTCTAGGACGAGTCCTTTCTTAAGGGTGGGTGATTATCCAGCTCCAGAGCTCGTTGCTACTGTAAGTATCGGTAGACTTTGAAGCAGTGATTTCCAGAGTCTGCGACTACAACGTGGCCGTCTGAAGTAAGAGCCAGACCTTGGGGACCATAAAGTGGGTCAGCAGAGGTGTTAATGTAGGATAAAAATGATCCACTTCCATCAAAAACCTTTGAGGGTGAGAAAGCACAGAATAAATGTTACGAATAAAAAAGGAAAGTGGTTCTCATTTCTGAAATAGCTGACATACACTAGAATAAACAAGGGCAAAATCTGATCTGCTATCTCATAATATGCAAGTTTATATATACAAATGTATGTTCTTATTAAAAAGAAATAATTATAGCTGCCAGGATCTTTGGCAAGAATTAACACACAATGAAATTAATAATAATAATAATAATAATAATAATAATAATAATAATAATAATAATAATAATAGTAGCAATAATCTTGGCTGTTCCTTGTTCTAAAAATAGTCAATACAATAAATCAAACTTAATTGGGAACTCAACCAACACCTTGTTTTCCTAACAAATATTACTGTTGTGCCTAGCCTGATTCTTAGGTTCCCACACAGAGAAAACCGAGAATTTGTTTACCCTGTTGTTTCCTGAGAACAACTCATAAGCTCCCTCAGTTTTATATTCAGTGGAAATAATACATACACTTATTTATTAGGTATTCTTTGGCAAACAAGACCTTATGATTAGCACTTAAAAGATAAAAAGAGTGCAACTCTCATAACTTGAAAGCAGAATTATTTCTCAACATTTAAAAAAGATGATAAAAATCTGCTGCATTCACCTCAGGTCATTTGCTTTTTCATATTTTCCACTATGTCTCTTATCTTCTGTTATGGTGATTATAAATGACTATCATCTCAGCAATGCTTGCAAGTCTCATAAGTCATCAAGTAACTTTTGAGAAACTACTTGGCAGCAAAATCCTTGGTCACAGTGGCCATCAGAGCTGCCAGCAGCTCTGTAAAGCTATCTGACACCACCTGGTCTGAAAGTTGACAATGAGGCATATAAGGGATGGTGTGAGAAACCATATCACTTCTAATGCTGATGGTGTTTCTTGGGCAGTCTGAAGGCCAGAGGTACCAACCTATTAGTTTTTTTAATAAAGAACCTTTGAAATACAGAAATTTCTACCTGTATTCGGCTGTTTCCCCAATCTGCTACGATAATATTTCCATTAGAATCTACTGCTACTCCAGTTGGTGCATTAAATTGCCCATTTCCTTCTCCATTTGATCCAAACTTCAGCATGAATTCTCCCTCCTGGTTAAATACCTGTGTGGGTTAAAACAGCAACCTAAATATGGCATGGTATCAAATATTAGTAATCTAGTACTACCAGTTCACCTGCTAATTAAAGGGGGAATTGAAGAGTTCCCAGGAACACACAGCCCCAAGACACACACACCCACAACCCTACACCATGGGAGAAAAGGTCCCCATCTTTCCCTTCACTCCATTACACCATACAGTGTTTCCCTTCTCACTTAATATCTGATTCATCTCAGACATGGAGGCAAAGGGCCCCAGAGCCCTTCTGCAGCTTGTGCATCTTGAACTGAAAAGAGCTGAATTCAGATACAGCACTGGGTTCTTTGTTTCTGTGGAACTAAAACACAATGGAGCAGATGCTCTCTTCTCTTCTTCCATAATCTAACACACATAGCAAATCATGGCATGCTGCTCTCTGTAGACAGTTCAGCAACTGAATTCTCTGTGATGATAACAGGTTTAGACAGCAGAAAGATGGAGCTGATCAATGACTATTCTGTCAGTGACCTGGATGCACCAATGGGACCAAACTAGATACAAAATGTGTCATTTTTTACCACAGCCACCTCTAAAATATTTTGGTCCATCTTGCACCCAGGCCCAGCTACAGCACAAGGTCCAACAGTGTTCTTAGAGACTGACTGTGGCTTGCACAAGAAAATGCAAAGACCTGACAAGTGCCAAGTGCACACAGAAGTGCTGATAAGGTGGAGGATGTCAGGAAATTATTGTGTTCTCAAACACCCACAGTGAACAGAGGAAAAACATTTGGGCGAGGAAATTAATGAAGTACCAAGTTAATGCCTCAGATGATTAAAGAAAAGAATTTTTAAAAAAAGCCAACTAATAAAAAACCAGACAAAGATATATTGCTCTCTCCCTGTGCTGAAGTGACCAAATGAGAGAGAAGCATACATTGTGCAGGATTTTCCATAAAAGATGCCTGAGGGAAGGAACATCCTTGAAGGTTAGTGGCAGTGGGAGAAAAATGTTGCTGAGTGAGCTTGTTTAATTCGAGACACTGGTGGCAGGAAGCGGCTTTGGGACTCATAAGAGTGAAATTAATTTATTTAGTTATTTATAAACTAATTTATTATTTAAAAGAAGATGTACTCTCTGCTTGCTCTCAGATTATAAACTCTCCAGAGTGTCAACAGTTAGATGTACCAATTTAGAGAACACAACAGAAGTAAGAATCTTTTCCGGTTACTACTAAATTGTAACAAGTAACATTTGTATCCCATTGAGTCACACCAGACACAGATGGGACACTCTGTTCTCATTAGAAATGTAGTAATTATAAATCCTCCAGGATGCCACACTTCTTACATTTCTTCACTTGCTTTTTTTTTTCATTTCAGTTTGCCCCTTGCTGTTCAGCTGCTCCAGGCAATCCTGTTACCAGGCAAACCTTGCTTGTGGAGAGGTACTTTATGGAGTCATAGGCCTCCTGCTGCTTTAGGGCTCCTGCAGCAGTCTTGGTTTCTGTGCTGTAATCCAAGCCACCAGCTGCTATTTCCTCACAAATTCCAAAAGGACGGGCAAGCAAGGTTGCTATTCCAAACCTAGGTGATTCAGCACTGCTTAGGACACAAAGGTGTCTATGCTCAGGCAGCAACTTCCTATTTCAAGTGAATATATAAAACTTAATTTTTCAGTCAAAAACAGTGAAGAACTAGACTGAAGGTTCATCTTTGTGTTCCATCAAAATAGGCATTAGATGAAAAGCCAGGGTATTTATTTTGTTGGGGTGTGGGACTGACACATATGTCCTGAGAATCCAGGTAGAACAGCATCCTGTCTCTGTGCTCCTGCTGCTGCCTCCTGCCGAGGGAGGGAACAAGAGCACGTGGCTCAGCAAGTGTACGAAAGGGAATGCCTGAGAACAGACACACACAGGTGAGGCATTTCTGAAGTGGCCTGTATTGCCTTCACAGACATTTGCCAACACGTCTCAGCATGTCCCCTTGGTTTGTATTGGGACAAACAAATAAACTTCCTATCATGCCATGACTTTAACAGGCTGTGAATCAGGACTTCCCATGGGTGTAAGGACTAGTGGCCAGTTCTGCCCAGTGCAGGAAGCACTGAATGAAAACCAATAGTTACATGGGTTTTAAGAGAATCAAGTTGTAAAATGGATCCAATAATCTTAAAGCTTATAGGTATGGAATGTAAATGTATCTTTACTTTGTTATAATTTTACAACTAGGAATGTGGAAAGCTTTTACTGGGAAATTCAAGAGCCAGACTTTTAAAACCTTGTTTTGAAAGAAGACAGAACACAGGGTCAATAACAGGTTTGGCAGATGGCTACTAAAAATAAGTAAAGTTGAAATGATTTATTTCAGGTACAACTTATGTTTAAGCAATTGAGTTAGAGAACATTATAGTGACACCAAAGGCAATAGACCTTATCTTCACTAAGCAATGCACTGCATGCAAAGTTCTCTGAAAGTCCTTATAGCAGAACTCATACATATGGAGTGTTATCTCTTTGGTTTTAACAACATGCTATTTTCCCCAAGAAAGTATCATAATAAAATTTAAATGGCAACTTTCCAAGTTGCCATTAATTGACAGTACCTTGACAGAATGGTTATGAAAATCTGTAATGATAATTTCATTGTTGCTGTTTACAGCTGCAAAATGAGGACCTGCAATGTAGAAAAAAGAAGAAGAAAAAAAATAGTAATATCATTAAAATAAAAAGTATGGTTAAATTAAAAAAAAAAATAAATTAGCTTGCCAGCATATTATGTTTGGCTTCTGAGCAATAGCAGTCCAAGTGGAAATACCAATTCAAGTTAAGAGTAATTTTACTTCATGGGTTTTTTTTTTAAAAAGCTCAGCATGCTTTTTGTAAACAAAAATAATTTCCTTTTCAACCAGTTGTCAGCTATTCTTACCAATAACCATTGTTGATTTCTCCTTCTCCTGTATACATATGACTATGCAGAGATTTATGGGCTTATTAACAAGACAAAACATGTAGCGCTTAAGCATAAAGTTGTGTATACACTGAAAATTGTTATAAAAAATGTCCCTGTAAATTCTTAATTGAAATATTTTATGCTCTGTGTGCTCACATCTTACAAGCATTTGAGCTAACAAGTTTTCAGATAAATACAAAAGTTACTTAGAAGACCACTGTTAGGGAAGAAAGGGCATTTTTTGCTTTACATTGTGTATTGAAATATATGTGCAAATTTGAGTAAAAAGCAAATGTTAGCTTGAAAACATGCAAGTACCCAAATTAAAACACTTGGTGATATTTTGAGTTATTAAACACAACAGAACTCAGTTTCAGTTTTCACAGTATATCAGGGTAAACTACAAAAAAGTGGAAAATTTTACAATGAAAACATTCAAGTATTGACAATTTACCTGTTTTCTGTAGCCTATCAGCAAGAGAGGTGATATATTTTTCAAATGCTGTTAGGAAGTATTTGCCTACTTATTTTCTGGAGGTGTTTTTGCAAATTTTCAAATGAAAAGAAATTGAGATACCCAGAAAATTTAGCTGTGTTAGAGCCCAAGCTCTCATAAATTAGATATATATATTATGCCATAAGACATTGCGAGAGATCTCAGGATACAAATACATTGATGCTATTCCTCTCTTTCACTGTGAACCAGTCAAAGCATCACACCATTGAAACTGCATACTGAAAATGGCCAAACACCTGCAAAATGAACTGCATACCTAATTTGGCATCTTAGTTTCAAATTTTGAAAGAACAGCTATTCATTTAAAATATATTAGAGCAGTTGTTCTGTTTTTTAAACTTAACTGCACGCTATACTTGAAAGATGGCATGTGCAAGCAGTCAGTTGAGTATAAAGGGCCATTTCCCCAAACTTACACTGGCTGTTCCATAACCCTGCCCTCCTGATCTCAATCTTAACGCTTTACACTCATTTTCTAAGAGATACCACTTAGGGCATTGGGTTTTGTGTATCTGATGAGCGGAAACACAAAGCACAGCAGCAGAGTTGATTGTGGTGAGCAGCTTAGTGTGGCAATTACAAAGCACTTACAAAACGCCTGTTAAGATCATTCTTTCTTGGGTCACTGATCTGAAATGCTTCCAGGCATGGGGAGGTGGATGAAACAATCTGGTTACAGTTACATTTGCAGAACAGATGTTGCAGTCTGCCCGACCAATCAAGCAAATAGGAGCTGTATGTCTAGCAGAACCTCTCCCCCGGAAGGATAAAGGAGTAGGATACAGCATCTGCAACATGCTCAAACATCATGCAAATGTGAGCAGAAGAGGCAAGAAGAGGGGATTTACATATTACCATCAAGTGTACCTGCAAACTGCTTGTCACCATTTCCTCGGCTCCCGAACCTGGTGACTATTTTCCCATTTGGCTGGAAGATGAAGACACAGCATGCTTTATTGTCCACTACAATGATGTGTCCATTACGATCCACCGAAACACCTTTAGGGCCCATGAGCTTTCCAGACCCAATTTTGGCCTAAAAGGGAAAACACAAAACAGGAAAATACGTTGGCATGCTAGAAATTAGTTAGTACAGTTTAAAGATTGTATTACGGGCACAAAGTAGAACGGAGAGGCATTTTTTTCATCAGAAGTTGGAAGTGATAGTTTTTAATCAGCTCTTACCATGTACTTCATAACTTTTTCTTCAGATGAAAATAAAGTCTGCTTTCTGTATGTCTTTTCTAGGCTGAAAAACTGCCACCTCAGCAACTGAGTCCAAATACACAGCTCAGAAGAAATACAGTCATCAGATTTGTATGGCTTGATAAACCTGTCAGAAATGTCTGTGTATCCAACAATAGGGTACCAGCAGGACAGGGAGACAAGCAGAAAGGACTTTTGTCTCCTATTGCATGCTGCTCCTGAGTCCAACAACCACCTTGATGGACAGGAGACATCTTTATCACCACCTGTATCAAAGAAGGCAGAATCCTTGGAGCATCAGGGCTGGGTGGGATGTAGGCTATGACGTCTTTTGTTGCCTTTCTTGGGTTAGTAAGACACTAGCACCTTCTGAGTGCCCTCAGAATGAATTTGAGCAGAGCTGAAACTCAGACTAACAGATTCCACACGAGATTGCTTCACTTGCTGCTTAGACACATGAAGTGTCAGCTGAAAACTGCAAAGGGGAGAAGGATCATGTTGCCAAACAGCAAATGAAGCAATCTTTGAAACACTAAACAAATCAAAGCTTGTTCCTGTCTTAGGTAAATAAAATTATTTCCATCATTTTAAATAGGCCTTGTGACTACCAAAACCATCTGCTGGCATAATCAGCAACAGGAGGGGAATTGTATACAGTATTTCCCCGGAAAAATGCTCCGTGGAGAGAAGATGGATCTCACAGCAGTAAATTATTTGGAAAGGCTAGATAGTTGTCAAATCAAAAGATGTCAGAAGCATGCTTTAGAAGGTTTAAAAAGAAGGGGTTCTAAAAAGAGGATCTAAGCAACAGAGCAAGCAGAAATTGAGACCAAGCCTTCAAAGAATCCATGAGTTACCTGGGCATAAACCCAGGAAGACTCTAGGATCACCTCACAATCCATTGCACATTTTCCACCATTCAGCTCTTTTTTAGACTGAGATTCTAGAAACTGTTTTAATCTATATAAAATCAGTTGAGTTTTGACCTTTCAGTTAAAATAGGTTGTAAATACCCAATTGTTTACAATGGAATGGAGCAACTTGCATCCTGCTTTTAGCCATTTTTTAAAAATTGATGGACAGATTTGAAAACAAATATTCAGGCTGGTTTCAAAAGTCTGTGCTGGACAGATAATCCACCAAAGAGGCTGTGTTGAAATTATGGATTGCAGAACTTTCAGATCCTGTAGTAATTTGTGAGAGACACATCCTACAAACTGAGGTTCATATCTCGGTGAAGAACACACTTTTCTGTTTGCATTGGAGTTCAAATGAATATATATACAATATATATGAATAATATATATATGAATATATATACAATATGCATACTAAGATATTAATCTTATTTATGAAACAAGGCTATCTTTCACCTCACTGCCTTTGAAGAGTGAGACAGATCACCCCCTAGAGCAAGCAACACTGAGAATCATAGAATCCTTTTGGCTGGAAAAGACCTCTAGGATTGAGTCCAAGCATTAGCCTAACACTGTTGTGTTTACCATTAAACCCTGTTCCCAACTACCACATCTACTTCTGACTTCTCTGCCCCTCTCCCCTCCCTCCTGCAACTGGTGAGTAGCAGTGAGACAGATTACAAGGCATTAGGAAAACTGATCGCCCAACTCATTTTTCTCATGTCCTTGATGTTTTCAAAGCAAACAGAAGTAGCTCTCCTACCCTTAGTAAGTCCCATGATCCAATTTCATAGTACATTCTCCTAGGCAGGTAAAAAATAGGAATGATCCTAAAATAAACCACCTGGGTTCACTGAGGATGGCTGCTACTAAGCCACTACACAACTTTTTTCAGTCTCCAGTAAAGAAAATTCCAAGGAGTAAATCTTGCGGCTTCAAGACTATGCTTAACCAACATGCAATGATCTTGTGTCACTTTTATGTTCATGTACATATACTGTTATAAATTGCAAAATATTTAGGCAAAATCTACCTAATTGAATCATGCTAAAATGTCCCCAGGAAAAAAACTATTAAAAATTATTTTATGTTCACCAGGGGAAAGATATCAACAGACCTACGAAATGTATTCAGTTTGCATAACAACAAAGCAGCAAAACCATAAATCAAATGCAAATCTGTAGATGTATTTCCTTTGGGATGACTAAATCATATTCCCCTCTCCTTTGGGATGCCCACGTGGTTGTCTGCCTCAGAATTGCACCACCTCTTTACCATCTTTCCAGGATTCCTATGGAAAATGACTCAGACTCATGAGTACAGTGTATTCCTGCCCATACAAACACATATGGAAAAATATAACAAATAAATCACATACTACATTAATGGGCACTCAGTGCTGAGAAGGGTAATAAAAATAACTATTCTTGGACCAGGTTTAAAATGTAATTTGCAAGCAGCAATAAAGTATGCCCAGCAAGAGTTTTTGCAATGCTTTTTTACGAAAAATCTGTTCCCAGTTAAGATCAAAATATGCTGATGACACATTACTGGATCTGGCCGAACATATTCTTTGTATATTTTTATTTCAGAAAGTTGCTTAGAATTATAGGTTTGATTATTTAGAACAGAACATTATGAAACCCAGTCACTCCTGTTAAGTGTATGAATGGAAGTATTTTCAGGCCTTTTTTTCCATTAGAAATGAATACAGTATAATGAATCATGTGAACCCTTAATACAAATAATGTGTTTAATTGAATTCAGTCAGGGACATTATGTCCCTTATTTTATAGGCTCTTAGGAATTTAGACTGGTTTTCAAACGTGTTTATAGAGTCACCCTACCAGGTTGGAAAATATTCTACTGTGGGATATTCCTAAAGGTTTAAAAAAAAAAGAGCTAGCCTACATAAAAATTTATGAAGACTTTTCCACTGTACAAGTGTTAGGGCTAAGTTAAACTTTACCAATCTTGTTGCTGTCTGAAAGGCTCAAGATTTTCAGGGATTAGTTACAAACTTTCAACAAGCCATTTTTTCCTGTTTTTAGAATTTCTCTAATAAGGAGATACAGCTTTGTCACAGATTGCAATATCACTCAATAAGTGGATTTATCATTCATGTGACTGTTAAAATTCAACTGTGACCATTTAACCACACTACCTATTCTCGTCAGAACATACAACCAGCTTCAGACAGCTCTTTCCTTAATTGTACTAGTGAGACAAGGAAGAAATCTGACATATAAAATGTTTCCTTTAATCTTTTCCCATTTATCTACACTTGATCTTGGCTTGCAGAGCCCTGTTTTGTTGATAACAAGCTTGTCATCTTATATACAGCTCTTCAAGACTAGAAAGAAAGCAATTCTCTTCTTGGAGGAACAGGAATAATTTTCTTGGCTCTGTTGTCCAGTTCTTTCACTAGGTTTGAACACCACAGTGGTGAGGAGCTGGTACAGCTGCTTCATCCTGCCCTCTTTCCTAAGCCTAATGTTGTATCTGCTGCAACTGATTTTTTAGCGCTTTCAGAGCACTTGACAGAGGAAGTCAGCACTGTCTTTTACAGATGAAGAAAATAAAGCACTTGGAAGTGAAATGGAAGATCACTAGTCATACATGAGATCTGTGGCATAGTCAGGAACAGAAGCCCCAGACCCTAAGACCCAATCTGAGTCTTTACCATTTCTAGGATAATACAGCCTTTCATGTGAAGAAGCTCATGTTTTGGTGCAACTTTAGATTAGAGTTTGTCCGCCTCCGCATTTATGTAAGTTCTACAGCCTTGAGAAAACAGAGCTCTTCCTTTGTTGCTGCCAGAACTGAGGAAGGTGACACTTTTCTGCCTGGCACTGGAGGTTGCCAAGGGGTGTCAGTCCAGTGATGTAATCAGGGAGATGCCTGGGCCTCGCTCCAGGGAAATTTGCCTTATGGCTCACATGATTATTAAAATTCCACTAAGCGAGAGTGAGTGTAAGTAAATACAGAAGGAGGGGGACAGCATCAAAAATAGTTAGATTAACCTCAAAACAGCCCCCTGATATTGCTGAGTTAACAACTAGCAGGCCACCTGCATCAGCAGTCTTACACAATGACTTGCAGGCACAGTCCTTTGAAGGCAAATGCCATTATCCCTTTCTCTCTCTCTGTTATTTTAGGAAATGCTGCCCAATTTAATCTGACAAGGCCCCTGTAAGAATTACCACTGCCAACACGCAAGAAATTACAAGGCTTTGCCCAGATTCCCATAGGCTAGATCTGTTATATCTATGTTCTGTGCTTCCAATATATTTTATTTAACCCCATCATAGAATAACATCCTGAGCTGGAAGGGACCCACAAGTATTATCAAGTCCAACTCCTGGTCCCACACCATCATGCCCAATACAAGCCCCATCCCTTCATGGCATTGACTGTCCCCTATATCACAGCCTCACCCTTGGTGGACATGACCTCCCAACACTGTGTGTGTCCCCTCCCCAGTTCCCCCAGGCCCTGTGCTCATTCCAACCTGCATCCTTCCTCTCCAGCACAGCTCTCCAGCTACCCTGTGCAGTACAGGATCCCCTGAACCAGTGCTGTGCCAATACAGGACCCCCTACTCCCATGACAGCTCCTCAGTGTGTCCCAGTGCCCATCCATGTCTCCATCCCAGTGCTCCCCACTGCCTCACTCCTGCTCTCCCTATGCACATGCTCTGCTACCTGCCCTCTACCCTGCACTAACATGCTTATGCCTACCCTCTGGATAAAAAAATACTTCTACAAACATTTATTTTTCCTCTCATAAATATGGCTTATTGCATTCAATCTAAAAATAGTATCTTATACCATTGATGTTTCATCTCTCATTTCATCAGTCTAGTCACAAGAACTATGAAGTCTAATGCATTAATTTGTATTAACCACACAAACACTGCCTCCATCCCCTTTGCATTTATTTTACAATCCAACAAAAACATTGACTGAAAACAAATCTAGGCTTCACATCAGAGGAACTACATTAATAATTAATTATTTCCAGTATCTGTCTCCCTGCTGGTAGCACATAAGGTCTCCAGAGCTTTTTCCTCCAGAGCTCACATCATCCAAAATGCTGGATTTACAGCATATCTTAAGAAGGCAGGAAAACAAGCCCTCCATGCTCTGTGTCCAGATCAAGCCAGTTCACATTAAAGATGTTAATAATTATTTAAAATACACTTAGGATACTCAGAATATTTGGATTCTTAACAAAATTACGTATTTCTTTGGGTTTGTTCTGGTGTTTTCATTTCATTTAAGGACTTCAGCCAAAACTAAGGTTTTCCTGTGTAGCTGTATGCTTTCAAAATTACTTGACAAATAAAATCACATTCTCTCTGCAAATGCAAATCATTTGTATTTTTTTAACACTTGCATTACATTTTAGTATTGTTTTATTTTAGCTTGAAGTCTATACATGATCTGGATACTTTTAAAAGCATACACACCTGTTTCTCAGATGGAGGTCACCGAGGACTACGCAAGCACAACTGCCTATTTGCATCTGTCACTTTGCAAAGACTGTTCAGAGAAAGGCCATTTCTTGCTGCAGAACCTGAGCTTTTTGTTCATTAGACTGCCAGAATATTAGCCAAACAGGCCATATCTGTGCAATGCAGCACTCCAGAATTAAGTAACTATGGCAGAAATTTCCCTGCATGTCCATTATCCCAGTGACCAATGAGTACTGCTAATCTCTGCCAGAGGTGACTCTCTAGTGTGCATCACCAGACTTGGCATCATGCATTCAGAGAACAGCACCAAATGGAGGAAACCTTGAATTCTCTCTGGAACTTCACCTGAACCCAAGCAAAATAAATACTGCAGGTTGGACTGCTGTCTTATTTTACTCCCATTAAAGGGATCAGAGATGTTATGAAAATATGAGGCATGCTTTCCTTAGAATTTCTGGTTTCTGAAACCTACAATATCATTACTGTCTTTCAATTTTTTTACACACCACCTAGAACACTCCTGTCTATGCTGTAGCACTGAAACAACACCCTGGTTTACCTTTCCTTGCTTTATTACCAACAGGATCATACATAAATTATACAATTTATTTGCTGAGAAGTATGAACTAAAAGGGGAAGTCATCGTCATCATTCTTTTTCTCCTCCATATGTCACTGAAGGGATTCATGTACTCCTTGTAAGATTTTGTGTTTTTCTTTGTGCATACATATATCTGCACACACCCTTCTGTACAATCAGAGTAATAATGATGTGAAGGTTGTTGAGCTAGTCCAGCTAGCCTTGCTGGCACTTGCTATCCTCACCATAAGTAACAGAAAGGCATCTAAGTCCCCAGTGTGGAACATGTTGTCTCTGCTTGGTGTAACATTAGCATTACTGCCGTGATCTCCTCCTATTAATTATACCATGTAGCTGGGTCAGGGGTTTCCACGTCACAACAATGGAATTTAGACTAAGCTACAGCCAAACTATGTAGTTTCTTGAAGAACAATGTCACTTTGCATTCCTTTGTAAGACAGAGAAAGCTCAGGAGAGTTCATGTGGTAAGTCATACCTTAAATTTTCCATCTGATGAGAATATGCTAACCCATTTGTTATCATAGTCTGCAATAATGATGTCACCACTGGGATGCACAGCCACTCCTGTTGGCCGCTGCAGCTGGCCAGGAGACCTTCCTCGTATGCCAAAACGGCTTTTGAACTGACCATCATTGGAAAATATCTGTAATAGAAAACAGAAATTTTAAAATTATGTCCACATACAACCATCACCTATTTCTTGGAGCATAGATTTTAGCAAGACACTAATGAACTAATGAGCACTATAGTCAGGAAGAGAGCTGGGAATGTGAACCACTTTTACACAGTCCATATTTGAAAGTGATATACCTAATTTAAGAAGACCACAATTAAAAAAACCCATAAAATTCTTATTGTGTTGTTTCTTAAGTGATCTTAAAGTACTTCACAAACATTAATGAATTAGCTTCATTAAATCTCTCTCAGCAGGGAGGGAATGGTATTGTTCCCTTACTAGAAATGAGGAAACTGAGGCACTGACTCAGCCACAGTCAAACACTAAGTCTGTAGAAAATATAGGAATATGTCCACTGAGTGTGTCCTCAAGCCAGGTAACTAGACACTGAAGCTCCTCTGAAGAGGTTGCAAATTATGAAGTATGAGGGTGCTGATGAATATTTGACTCTTTCTCTCTTGGAAAGGCCTGGAAACGAGTTCTCATGGCATGTGGCTTGCTGGTTCTCAAGAAAAAACCACAAAAACAAGCCACACGCTGCTGCTGTGTTCATTGCTACCACATGGGCAGCCTGGAGAGTGATGAAAAATTGTTAATGGTAAAAAGGATACATGGAAAGCAAAAGAAAAAATACAGCTTGATTTTCACACAGGTTACAGAAGCCAAGAAATTATGGGTGTCAAGGTGCTACCGCAGAAAAGATTTGATTATGGTATCAGAAAGAAAAGCCAGTTAAATAGAGTAAAAGCCACTTGAAAATGACATCTATATGCTTATTTTTCTATTTGTACTTCCTGAAAAATTATATTTGTGGCACCTTGCTCTACATTTACATTAAACATGAGAGTGATAAAATTTACCATTTAAAATTATATTTGCAAAAAAGCATTTTTCCAGATTATTGCACAACTTATATTTTTCATCCATTGCCAAACATCAGAAAGAGTGGAAGTAAACTCTGATTATATACTAGATATAGTATAGATCTTAAAAAAAGATAGTTGCAGGTCAAGAAGATGGAAAGTTAATGGATCATAACTTGAGCTTCCCTTGTATATTCTATATCTGCCTGAATTGTACAAAATGTGTCTTTCTGAGATGACAAAAAAGACAGAGGTGTGGGCAAGGAGAAAAACACTGAAAGTGGCATACTCTCATACCTGCACACACTGGTTGTTACTGTCTGCTATTAATATTTTTCCATTTGTAGATGCAGCTACACCTTGAAGATTTGTAAATTCCCCTTTGTTTCTTCCTTTGGTGCCTAAAATTGAACACAAAGCACATAAGAAATCAGGTTAGACAAGACTAATCAGTTAGGACCCAAATGCCAACACATGCAATTATTACATTTCTGATCAAAGGATTTCTATTTTGAAGAGTTCTTCTCACTGCTACAACTTCAAAGAACCCTCTCAGTAACAGATACACAATTCTACTGACGAGAAGGAATTGTTTAGGGGACTGTTCTCACTCTTCAGCATGTGTGTCACCCAAGCCCCCATCAACATTAATTGCCTCTTTGGCCTTCCTAAATCAGTGTTCACAAACTGCCTCTTGCATGAGGGAAGTAGTAAAAGCTTTTTAAATAAGCAGTGGACTTTTTTAAACTGCAGATTTTTATTCTACTGAAAGGACAATTAACGGGACAGTACATGGGAACATACAGAGAGAGGCTAAGATAAGAACTTGGACAGATGACGTGGTTTTAGCTAAGTCTCCTCAGTGAAATCACAAAGCTGGGATAAAACATATCTCTTTGGATGGGGCCATTTCAAGACAGGGGAAGTTTCCTTTTCCTTCTTATATAGTCTGCAGTCACAGGCTTCAAAAACTCCCCTAGGAGGGAAATTCAGATGAAGATCTAGCTTTGAACAAATGGGACTTGTGGGCCAATGAAGACCAACACCTGAATGCTTCTGGAGAGACCTTGGGCTGTTCTAATAAAGCAGTGTCCACATACACACAAGTCTCATTTTAATCTAGGATAAAGGCACTTGTGAGTTACACAGAACTGTAACTCTTTTTTCGCTCAGTGGCTTAAGGTGATAAGGAGTTGTAAAATGTCAATTTTTCACGGAAGTTCATTAAGCTTAGGTTGTTTATTACTTAGATGTTTGTTCTGAAACATTCCATTCTGTGTCACAGAACAAACTGTCTTTCAAAGATCAGCCCCAAAGTGTCTGGTCCAAATTACACCTGGAACACAGAAACAGGATCCAAATTCCTGATTTGTTTATAAAGGAGGCCCAGGGGTCTTCAGAAATTACTCCAATTATGATCTTGGACTCCAAGGTTATTCATAATAAAGGAAGGAATTCTGAAATAAAACAAAAAAAGCCCACCAAACAACCAGCAACTCTATAAGCTGCTCTTTCCAAGACATGGATGCAGCACTGTTTTTCCTGGTGAAATATTTTTACAAGCATTCACTGGCTGTGTATCTGGCATTAATTGGTTCCGATTTATGGTTTTAACTGAAAAACTTGTATTTCATTTTAGTCAGTCCAAAATACCCTGGAGCTCAGTGATTAAAACTATTCTGACTGTGATGCCTAATATAAGACATATATATCAGCTCTAATTTGTATTTAGCTTTCATCAGGGATGTGCATGCTCGTAATAAACCTTCTTTCTTCTGTGGTGATGGCTGTGGGATGCATATTTCCTGTCACTGGCTAACAAGTAACATTTAATTTCTCTGCACTCAGTGCTGCAAGAATGTCCCTTTGTTTCAAGACTTATTTTCTTCAACTCCGTCTGCTTCATCCTCTAAACAAGGCAAATGCTTCTCAGTTTTTGTACTGCAAGGGAAAAGTACACATTCAGGGAATAGTGAGTTACATACCAATTACATTACCCATACTTGAGCCATTTCTGTTTATTCTTTTAATAAGCAGTGCCTGAGGGATGCATGCAGCAATTTTTTTCCACCATATGCTAATGATAAGTTTCCTTTTTGCTTCTTAGCCAAAGAGAATGGATGAAAAGAGAGAAACATTCCTTTTAATACTGAGAGTAAAGGGAAAACATTTGTTAGAAAAGAGGAGGCATAAGCTAGAGCATCTGGAACTAACTAGCACGAACTTTATGGAATGTATGCTCTTTAGCTTTAGAAAAATGTTCTTGAAAGTCAAGGAATTTTGTTTCTAAAGATAAGAGAGACCTATATAAAAAGTTACTCAGAGTGTTCATCAGTGGAACCTTGTAAATATACATCAAAGAAAAACTGAAGAGATTACCCAGGAATGTCACAGTCATGTTTCACAGTAAGTTTAAGAAATAGCAATTTATTAGCACAGTGTGTAGATGAAATTCAGCTCCGTGCAATGTCCTTGTATTTAGCACTTTGCAGCTATTAAACCTATCACCTAGCTCCTAATTTGCATTCAGGCCCTTATACAGCCCCCTCTGCAATGGCAGAAATTCCTCTGCAGAAGATAGCTTACTTCCTAACGTACGCTCAAGAGGAAATCTGATAACTTTGAACTTTCCATTTTGAATAATTCACTACACCAGTGAAGATCTGAAGCCAAGCGCAGGCACTTCAGATGATGAGAGGAAAGCCTGCAGGAAAGCATGTCAGCCTCTGGAAAAGCAGGCTTTTGCTACTGACTCTGCAATACCAAAGGATGATAGCTCCCCTCTGTAAGTAGAAATTTCTTCCTTATGAACATACCTGCCTAAGAGAGAGTCTTCAGCAAAATTTTACTGCAAGACACTACCCCTCTGAATCAAGGCATTTCATCTTTTGTCTTCTCTCCATCATGGGCAGTCACCCATCTCTCCTTAGCCTAGGGAGGCACCAACATTTCAATTGCACAAGGCTGGAACCAGTAGGAGCTTCATTCCACTGTTTCCCAAGCATCCTGGTTAACAGATGAAAGCCTGCATCTTTTGTGCCCATCATTGCCCTGCTTTATCTCCCTGCTGTTCTGAGCTACTGCAGGGCACAAAGGAGGAAAAGACAGAGATATTTTACTGCAAGCTTCTGGGGACTGGGAGAAAACAGGAGAGATTTCAGAAGAAGACTGAACAGAGTTATTGAAAAGCAGATCTATGGCCCGTGGAATATATCTTTTTATACAATTTTTGTATGCAGATAATGATCAGATTTGTTTTAGCCCTATCTAATCCCTTCTGGTATTACTGAGCATAGCCTGCACAAACCAATTAATTTAGCTTTCAACAAACAAAGTGTGCATTTTCTGCTCAAGATGATTCTAGCACACATAAAATGCTTCATAATTTCAATCTTTTACTCTTGAGCAATAGATGTAATACTGAGTCTCACCAAAAAGAAGAAAAAAATAATCTAAAAGCCCATTAACAATGACAAGAGATGTTAAAAGTAACATCATATAACTGTAATAAGAATATGTTCTTTAAGTCCTGGGAATCTGAACAAATTTGTATAATGTATATTTTTGATGCTCGTAGTAAGAGAAGGAGTGTTTTTTGCTTTCCAAGTTTTACTAATATGACTAACCTGCTTGCTAACCTAGATTCCCTAGCTCCCTAAAACACAAAATAAAAACATGTCAGTGCCTCCAGCAGGAAGGGAATAGATTCAGAGAGACAAAATCAAACTGCAGAAATACTACAGATTATTGGGAAGACTTAAGAGGTTTTGAGTGGCCATAACCTGTTGTGTAGGTGTCATTTCTTTCCTGCCTACAGCACTTCAAGTAATTCTTCTTGGACTCTTTCCTTTGTGGTACAGAAAAAAAAAAAAAATAGGTAAAACTAAACAGCATGGAAAGGTCTACATACATATTGCATAGACAGGAACCAAGAAGTTTTCTTGTTTCCCATCATCCTTTTTTTTTCCCTCAGAGTGCCAAAGGATATTTAGTCAAATCTTGCACATTACGAGGCCGTGATGCCCCCTCTTATAATAGATGCAGCTGAAACACAAAAGTCTCTGTAGTAAAACTGCACTGAATTGTTAACCCTATGTTCTTACAGTCTTTCTAATCCAAGTTCTCACATGACCTTAAGTTCTAAAATCAGTCAGTCTGTTGGTTGAAGGCACACTGTAACCTTTAAAGAGGAATGAATAATTCAGTAGGAACTGTGGCAGATATGCCCACACATTGTTGGTAGTGAAAATGGAGTGATTTGTGTTAATTCGCTTTACACAGTATCTGCCCCTAAAAGTCTGGCCAAGACAACCTCCAAGTCCTGCTCGTGCAGCAGTGCCCCTGTCACCACAGACAGGTATGCACACACCAGGGGTAAGTGTAAATCAGAAGTTCTTTACTGCCACAGCAGCCAAACTTCAAATAACAACAGTCAAATCCAGGTCAGGTCTCTGTCGTCAGCACATCAGAACTACGCTGGGGACTTTGCCAGCAATGTGATATCAAGAGTTCTTCCCTCCCTGTCCAATACAGGTATGACTGCAATGCAATGTAGGCCTGGCAAAATGTCACACTGACCATCACAACCCCGTAGAGTTCACGATAAGCATCAGAGGGATTTGAGCTAATAAACTGGAAAAGGAAATTCTATTTTCCCATTGCTAGGCATTCCTATTTCTACAGTAGGGAGGCTGGACCAGATGACCCAGTGTGGTCCCTTCCAACCTTATTTCTTTTGTGATTCTGTGAAACACCTGATCAAGAATCCCTTTGCTCCCTCTAAGCCTGCTTTTTAAGCTGCACTAAAGCTATCATTACACAGTCCTTGTTTGTGAGTTTTTATGTGGATAAATTCACAGTAAGGCTCCTATTTGCTTTCAGCATTGATAGCAGAGCAGAAGATGACATTCACACTTAGTAAGAAGGCTGACAGAAGTTTTGTTAAAGGCAATTTTTTTTTACACATTAATGTACCGGCTAAACTTAGATGCTCAGTTCCATGACTGAACAGACAACTAAACAGTCTGAGGAAAAGGAAAATTGAACTTTCTAGCAGAGGGCAAACTCTCCATCTGGCTGTATCTGATGCCAATTCCAAATATAAATAAATGATGAGAAAAAAATCAGTTGAAGTTGGAAATAGCACCACTACTGCTAAATGGTGTCAAAGAACCCAGCCACAAAAAGTGCCAGAAGGGAAAAAATACCAATGCACACAGCACAGCATGGCAGAGCTGGATCACAAGATGGGGTCCTGGACAGAGCAGGACCTGCTCCTGATGACAGCCACATCTCTTAACCCTTCTTTGAAGGGCATGGAAGAGATTTACCAGGGAAGGTGGAAGTGGCTGACACTGTGAACACCCCTCACCTCTGCTCAGCATGGATGTAAGGCACAAAAGCAGGGTAATGAAAGAAAGACTTTCCTCTCACTTTAGTGCTTCCTACCAGTTGTAGAGGTAGCAAAACCTTTGGACAACATTATTTTCTAGAAATCATAAGAACATTCTTGTTGGCATTTATGTAGACTAAGGACATGCTACACAGATCTGCATGGACACACATGTAGAGATTACACCTGTACAAAAAAATAAAAATAATTTGAGAATATAAATTATTTAGAGAGAAAAAGAGGGTGCTGAAAACACTCTGCTCTAAAAATGAATTACATGAATGTATGAAAGTGCAGTCAATAATTTGACCTTGCAATGTCTGAAGAGAACCACATGCCATTTTAAAAGCCACAAAAAACACAGAATTGGCAGAAGACACAATGCACACATCCCCATGAACAAAATGCACTAATGGTGTATTAATGCTATCTCTTGTTAATACTAGCAGGAAAACAATCCCCTGCTAGCAGCTGATCAATTTACTTGTGCATAAAAGCCCATACATCAGCATATATACAATAGCACACTCCATAGAGGAGTATGACAGTGTGATTCTCCAGCACAGCTGTACGAGCTTCTAGCAGGCCAAATAGAAGATTTATCTTGCTCAGTTTAAAATACAGATCCAGATTTGGCCAGGGCCATTGGAGAAATTCAACAATGGGTTCAAAACAGAGATACACAATTGTGTTGGAGAACAGTGATAAGCTTTGCATTACCTCATCAACAAATGAACCAAACCTTAACTTTTTAAAGTGAGCTGAAACTGGAAGTAAATTAACTCCATGAATGCAATCCTTGTGAAAATGTCAGAAGTTTTACCTGTCTCAATAATTTTGCATTTTTTTGAGAAGTGTAAAATCCTAGAGCATTACAGCTGTGACCTTTCAGAAAATGCACACATAAGCCCACAGGAACATCTCTACGTACTCATGTGAAATGAGTGCCTAAAAACTGAACACAGAATATGACTCTCAGCTCTATAAAATAGTGATTCATATATCCCAAATGTGGACACTCCAAGAGATTTCATGGAGCAAAAGCTCTGAGACATGCATACCTCCTGTTCTAATGAAATACATCTTCCTGTTTTGAGTGGTGAAGAAGGGGAGAAGACAGAACTCAAAGCATAGTCGCATCACAGCAGAGTAAAGATGGTTGCATCACCACCTTTTAAAAATAAAGATGGTTGCATTACAACAGAACTAAAAGGCTCTGCACTTCTGGGAAAACATTTAAGACTTCTAAAGTTTATTGTGTGTTGTAGAAAGTAGTTTAAAAAAAAAACAAAACAAAACAAAAAAAATTCTAAAAAACAACACCGCTACAAACAAAAGCCAAACCATACCACTGTTTGGTATTCAAGCCAGAAACTATTCACTAGATGGAAGGGATACAGAAGCAGAAATTTCAAGCTGAAATTACTTTAAGTCATACCAAAATCTTTGTAATATTAATGTTAATTTTTTTTTAAAAATCACAGATCAAATATATCCATTTCTCAACTGAAGTCCCAATCAAATATTTACTGTGAACTGTTAAACTGTTACACATAAACAGAAGTCAAGAGGCCTAACGGTATTATCAGGTTGTTTGATTTACAGCTTTAGCTTTACAATAACTAAACTTTTTCATTCAGTTTCCCTGAACTATTTTTAATTATGTCAACAGGCAGCCAGGTCACCTACCTATTCTGAAGATCAAATCATCTTCAATGGGATTCTCTTTTCTTTTGCCAGTGCTGTACATGCTCGCAGGTCTTTTTACAGCTTTCTGCTTCACATGACCACTGCCTGGAGATTTAACACGTCTCTTAACCCCTTCAGTGGTAGGAGACACGTCTGCTGACCTGACCACTTTAAGTTTGAACGGGCTGCCCTTGATATGTTGATCGTAAAGTCTCAGCGACAAAGTGAAGTCCCCTTCTTTCTGAACAGTATACAAAAATTCGTAAGTGCCGTTTTTGTTGTCAAGTATTTCTCCATCCGCTACACTGCCATCAGGCGTGCTCAGTTCAGCAGTGAGGTAAGCATTCCCGGATTTACAGAGCTCCCCATCTTTGTCCTTGGTCGTGATAGTAACGGACATGGGCTGCCCGATCACTGTCTGCCTCAGTCCCTCACCGGTGGCAACTGTTTCAGAGGCAACAGCGTTGGTGGTTAAAATAGTCCCCAGGTTGTGAATGGACTTCTTCAGGCCTTCTGTCTCCACTATAAAGTCCAACTGATCGTTCTCACGGGGCTGCAGCGGGAAGTCCCGCTCGGCCAGTTCGTTCAGCTTGTCACTCATCTGCTTCTTCACCAGCAGCACTTCAGTTTCAGTGCCATGGTTGAGGGCCTGGGCTGTAAAGTTGCTGCAGCTTTTAATGCTTTCCTGTCCTTCTAGTAAGGTATCCAGCTGTGCCTGGAGGACCTGTGTGCATTACCAAACACCAGATTAGCATCATGTTACAAGACCTATCCCAGGAAAATGTGGCATCTAAAGGTCCTTCTAAGAAACACATTTATAGTATCTTATCTTTGAGTTTAATTTAAACCTTCATTTTATAAGGAGCACACTGCCAACCTGTATTTGGAATACAATGTTGCAACACAAGAAATTACCCTGGTCTTGGGATTCAAGACTTTACAGACCCACTGTCACACTAGACTGAACTATTGCCACACCTGTCTTGACTTGTTTGGTTTTGGGTGTTCTGTTTCGGGCTTTTTTTGTTTTGTTTTGGGGTTTTGTTGTTGTTGCTTTGTTTTGGGGGTTTTTTTTGAGCAAAAACTCAGCAACAAAAGTAAAAGTTTGAACCCTGTCCCATCTAACTCTCAGCAGTCACAGTTAATGAGACAGTTCCTGGAACTGAGTTGTGTTCACAGATACAAAGATATTTTGGAGTCATGAGATCCATTAATAAAAGAAGCTATAATAAACTTCTTACTACTGTTTCTTCAGAGCCAAGAGAATCTGTGGGTTACTCCTCTATGGAGATGGACAAGAAGACCTCAAGACCTGAATGCACACGCATCCTGAGGAAAAGTGCGATTCTTGAATGAAGTAAATGAAGAAAGGAAAAATCTCCCTAGCAGAAGGTAAATTGATTCCCCAGTTTCAGCAGATAGGAAAGCAAAATATACAGAATGGATTGTGGATAGTGGAAAGAGTTGGATTGAGTAGCCAGAAATTTTGGTGAGCAGAAAGTAGCCACTCCATATTTAAGACTATGAAAGAGCTTCTATTATAGGGTCAGTTCTGACCCTCAGTCTAAAATTCTTAAAACAGTATTAACCTCAAAATTGCTAGGTGTGGGCTGGGAACAGGGCTAAATTTGTGGGATTTTTTAAAACCAATTTTGCAATGAATTGGAAAAAGGCTTCCTGAATTATAACAACCTAACAGAGACATTTATGATAGTTATGAAAACATTGCAGCTTCCCCCCCCAGTCTCCACTGATAAAATCCCCAAACAAAGGTACCAGTCACACACTTGGTATGTTTTTCCTATACAGAAGAGCTACGGCACAGACATGACTGTGGATAAGAGAAGTTATTTTGTTGACCATCACTGTAAAGTAAGTATTTTTGAAACGTTTCAATTGATGTAAACTTAGAGCCTGAATGTATTTGTTGCTATGAAATACTCTTCCCTTGCTATGTAATGTAAAGGCATTTTTTTTTGAATTTTCCAAAGCTTTAAGCTTTTCATCCACTGAAGAAAATCCAAGCTCATGCATTACTGATATGGGAAAGTGATAACAACACAAAATCTTCTGCAATTAAAACAGAATGAACAAATTTCAAAACTAAACAGAAATTTCAAGTCATCTACTTTTCTAGGGACACAGAAACTTCTCAACATGCAATACAAGGCATTTCTAATCTGTCTGGTCTTTATTCAAAGACATAAGTAGTTAAAGAGAGAGCACAGCCAATAAGGTCCCAGAGAGACAAAACTCCATATGCTTCAGATAACAGGCCACTAACTAAAAGAAAGGCAATTTGCAGCTATGTTTTAAAATCAATACTTTCCTAAGACAGTTTTCTTTCATTACAAAAATTGAAAATATTAAATCCTAACATAAATAATATTTAAAATGCATGTAGAGTATTTTACATCTTACACTCTTTCAGTCCAGACAACAAATTGAACTGCAAACTTTTTCTTAGTAAAGTGAAGCCCTTTAATTTTTTCATTTTTTAAAAGCATATGATCAGAATGATTGTATTTTGCAGGACTACCAGGCATTCAAAAGTAAAATCAAATTTCAGTTGGGGTTTTTTTATACAAACAGCGTAGATACCTCTTTTACTGCTTACGTATAACTTCATAAAAATTTGATTCTCTAATGCTCACAGTTATTAAATTATTTTAAATCTCTTTAAACAACAATAAGATAATTTAAAATCATATGCTATTTTGTACACTTTGCAGACTTCAGTATTTGTGGACTTTGAACACATACAGAATATATTTGCTCAATATGGAAGTAAGTGTGACATCTTGAATACATTGTGACATCGTGAATACATTAAGATGAACCTGGGATCTAAGCCCACATTATTGAAGCTCAAACTTCTGTAAGCTGCTGCTTAGCTCTGGAGATGACTAAATTCTGTGCCCCCATGGTTTTGGGCTCCCTGTGTTCCTGAAAGCATGTATCTTGTGCATGTTAGAATTCCTCCATTTCCACAGGCTCAGCAGTTCAGCACCTTTCTAATGATGTTTTCAAGCCTATTCTACATTCAAGAATGCAGCATTTCTCCACTTCAGACATCTGGAGATGCTCAAGCTGCTCAGTAATGGCACTCTTGAAACTCCAGTTATTGAAGCTATTTTCTTTTAAAGGCAACTTTCAGGGAGAAATCTTTCTTTATAAAGCAGAGAACTGATGCCCAGAAAAGTAAGGACTAAATTCCTTCATTTTCCTGATTCAGACCTAATAATCCTCAGCAAAATCTCTACCCACCAGGCTACAGTATTTTCTTTGTAAATGCACAGGTTTCTGTTTTCTTCCTCTGAAGCTTGGTCTACAGTACAGGGGGAAAACCTGCAGAATCAATCATCCAGATAGGAAGTGCAAGAGTGAATACAGCTCTGCAGTCTGTTACTCTCCTCATTCCCCTAAGAAAGCGAGATGTCCCTCTAATCTTTTTGTATTCCAACAGGTGACATCTAACATGAAATATGTCACCAAGCACTGGAAAGCAAAACAGTGCTTTGATGCTAAACAGACAGCCTTAGTTCTTCAGGATACATTGTTTGGCCTGTATCTTCATGCTCATCTTATAAGGCTGGGCACCCACAAGTGAGGCTCTGCAGCAAACTATTTCAGGAAAACAAAGTTCTCTGGATCTCAGACACAACTTGTCAAACTGGCGTCCTGCATAGTTTGTAAAAACTGGCTGATTAAATTAACAGCTTTTCATTGAAACAAAACATGCATCTTACTTTGTGTTTAAGGCCATAATTCACTTCCAGTTCCATGAGCAGCACGCTCTTTCGCACATTTAAAGTCTTCTGGAGTTCATCAAAAGTGGAATGAATGTCATCTACGATGCTAGCCTTTTGGTTGGTTAACTGGTGTATGATTTCAGATATAAAATGAAGTGCTGAGTCAATCTCTGGAAGCCTGAGGGAGGAAATAAATTACAAAGATTGCTGTTTCAAAAGTCATTAAACATTGGCCCTTGCTCTGGTATATTTTGATTAAACCCTCTCGTCAGCAGGCTGTCTTTAAATTTGATCATTTCCCAGAAGTAAGTTCATTCTTTTTATAACCACCCAGTGGGTCTGGTCTGATAAAATAAGGTTAAGCAACAGTCCTCCCCTGTGCAAATCCATTAGACTTTAGGCATTATCAACAATGAGGCCTTGGATCCTCTGTCCTTTATGCTGTATATCTACTTAAGAAGATATACCTAGATTTATCCCACTTTTTCTCTTTTTTTAAGCCATTTTGCCACTTAACACCCAGCATTATTTATTTAGCTATCATTAAATTCATGATTGAACAGTAGTTTCCTCCTTAGCATTTTATATCCCTTCTTTGGATGACACTCTCATTTCTAATGGCCTCTGTTTTGTGAAAGACACATAGGAATCTTTTGCTCTTTTTGCTAACCCCTCAGTACATTCCACTCAATGGATTTTTTGTTCTTATGCTAGCCTCACTATCCCCATTTCCTAGGAAAATACCCATGGTATTATTTAAACATTAAAACATCTACCCCAGTCAGCATAGGAAGCCAGTGATAAAACTGAAAATGGAAAATAGTCAGTGGAGTCTCCATACCTTTTGTTGACAGCATCCAGTTGGACTTGGAGGGAAGCCTTGTGTTGCTCCACCACATCCTTGAGTGGTACCGTGGGATGCTCTGCGTGTTCTCCCTCTGTGCACTCCCGGCACATGGCTGTCTCACAGGACTGGCAGTAAAACTCCATCACCTGGAAAAGTGCACAACTCTACACTCAAACGTGGCAGCAGTAACATAACTCAAAGCACATCTTACTGAGTCTTGAACTCGTTTATTAGCCAAGCTCTGAGACAAAGCTTCTGTTTTCTTATGCACCAATAATTTACTGCCTAAAAGATGGTTGTTATTCTTACATATTTTTTTCTATCATAAAGTGTCAGAACAGCAGCCTGTGTACAATGCTGGACTTCACTGCTGGTCCTAACATCATCTTCATAATGTGTAATAGTAAGTTTTGGTGTCTATCTTATGTATTCTGTGAAACAACTCAAAAACCCAGGCATTCAACTACCCTCACTAACTTGATCCTAAGCCTTCCCACAGGGTCTGCTAAAGAAAGTGTAAACTTAGGCTGTTTTTCATAACAGGACCACTCTTGAAACACAAACTCAACGGAAATCATCAAACAGCAAGTTTATTTGCTAGAAAAAATGAACTAAATGAACCAACATGCTGCAGGGGTAAATCTCCATATCCCATTACTAATCCCTTAAAACCATTAAAACCTCATATCTGAGACTGTAATAGGAGTGCTGATCTACACTTGAAAGAGGAGATTGTTTCAACCTGTTAAGTACCCAACAAGATGCTCTTTAGAGATAAAAATAGATCTTTACATGTAATAGATACCTCAAATTCTGAATATATTCATGAAGAGAAAGAAACAGAGAAGTGCTGTGCCCAAAATCATATGTTAGTCAAAATAATGCACATATATGTAAATTTGGCATGAGACTTTCTTTTACAGCTAGGAAGTCCTTGGGCACAAAGCATTTTAGGCTTATTAAAAAGGATATAAGGAAGTTCGTAGTAAATGCTTCAAAGCAAGACACTGGCAGCTCTTTTGCATTCAGAGCATAGCATCAGAATATTGAATAATTCAGCTGATGCTTCTGGCACTCAGACATCTTGCATCAACAAAGATGGTTGTGCTGGAGTTGCTGGTTGATGAGGTGGTTGTGTAGAACCAGTTGTTTTCAGGTGAGCAGAGGGATTTGGAACAGCACCATGCAAAATAGCTGTCTGCTCCAAGGCATTTTGAGAATTAAGGAGGGGGAAGCAAGAACCATGATTTGCACGTGGCTGTTAGCATTAATAGGATTTTTCTCTGATAAGCTCCTTTCCATCTTATTCCCATTCTTGCCTCTTATCTCACTTCACAAGATAGAGGATTCACATGAAGCAAGGGTTTAGTAATTTGTCATCCACTCGTGTAAGCTGAGAAAATTTAAAAGTTGATCCAAATAACCTGTATAACATCAAATAGATCAGCAGCAGGGGGAAAAATGTAGACCTTCTAAACAAGTCAACCTTCATGAGCACTACTCCAGTCACTGTGAATTTAGCAGTCTCATTGTAGTAGATCCTCCAAGGCCTGATAGTTACTTTGGTAGGCACTGTGATGTGATGCATTCTTACAGTGCATAGAGGAAATCAGTTAAACAGAGTTTAGGATTTAAGTTCTTTTCAAAGCTTCAAATGTTTGCAATCAGAAGCAGCCAAAAGAAAGAATATTTTATTAGGAAACTCTGAAATCCTCTTATATGGCCAAAAAAAGTTTCTTTTGCATGAATGTCCAAAATCCATCTTTCTGCCTCTTAATTTAATGCTTAGGTTCAAGATATTTCAAAAAGCTCTTTATTTATTCAGTATTTTCATCTTAAGATACAGTGATTAGAATAATTTAGTATTTATGTTTTCTACTGACCACCCCATAATAAACATCATTATATTTGCAGCCACATATATAAGAAAGGAAGCATCTGATTTGCATAAAGGTTGTTCAGCCTGAACAACTTTCTTCTTGTTTATTCAAGCATCAGGGAAACACAGAAGCTCAAATGATAATAGTAAACAGATCACAAAGATCTAATGTGTATGTCTATATAGAAATAGTTGTCCTTGCCTGAAATTCAAAATGTTTGAGAGAAGCAGCTTTCATTTCCCACTATAATTTTTGTGTTGTGCATAGAAGAAGGAGAAGGAAAACCTAATAATAATAATACAATTCAGGCTTCAACTGTCTATATAGGCTGATTTCATAAGATTTTTTTGGTTTAGCATCTCTTAATCAGGCAAGACTAATTTCTAACTGCAGACAGACAAGTATTACTGGCTTTTTATCTCTCTCCTCCATGCTCAACATGGGCATCACATTTTGTGACACTCCCAGAAAATTTTTCACTATGACAGGTTTGCGTTACAAAATATCTCAGAAAATGACATTTTCCTCTCCTTTCCAAATTCAAGAGAGCTTTTGGGCAGGAAATACTGTAGCATCCAGCACTGGCTTCAGCTGTATTTCCACCAAATTCAATGAGAAATTCCCATCAGATGTAATGAAATGTGAATTAATATCCACTGGTTCTGGAATCCCATCCACTAATTCCCATCTTAAACCAGACCAGCATATTTCACCACAATGATGTAACTAGAAACCCATGTGCATCTTCACCTCTACAATTCAACTGAATTTACAGAAACTTTTAAAATTGCATAATCAAGGATGCAAGTACTTCTCAACTAGGTTTCACAAAGCCAAGACACACGAATTCCAGCCCTTCAACGTTCAGGTCTTGAGGAAAAAGCTCTCACCAATGAAGCTCCTCTTTAGGGAAGCTCCTCTTCCCTAAAATCACATTTGAATAATCAAAAATCACATTGAAAATCCTCTACTTTCTATTTGTTTTAATTAAAAGAGCAGCAGAAGAATGAGTCATCTCTTTGCCACCCACCTTCCTCATATCACACACACATGCTTAATTCCTCTGTCCCAGGGCTAGTGTGCACCTTAGTTTTGTATGCTTTGGCTTTCAGAGGAATGTAAGTTTGAATTACCTGAGGGCACCTCTGAGATACCTGATAAAATTTAGCATGTGGGTTTTTCTCCCTCCCTAGTCACAACTTTTGCCTTACCCACAGATTACACTTTAATGGGATACATGAGTAAGTCACATGGTGGGAAATACAGAGGTGAGGAAAAAAACAAGGGTTTAAAAGGTAAGATATGAAGTCACTTCAACAGAATATCAAGGATAAGTGAATTTTTATTTTTCTAAGAGAAGCATACAGGCAGTAAGCAACGTCTCCACAAGTTCAGGAAGTGTTTTTGTAAGCAAGATCTTATGCCTGTCAAGTTGCCAAGCTATGCTATGATCTTTTGAGAAAAAGCTAGTCAGAGATAAGGCATTCTCTCTTGCTAAAAGTGTTTAATTTAATACTGTGTATCCTCTGTTATTACACTCTAAAGGCAGAAAATACATTGCCCCACCTTCTACATTGTAAAAACATGGAACCTCCACTCTGAACTGGTTTTCAGTTCAAATTCAAACAAAACCCAAGTATAGACATTTCAGAGGCTACACCACTCATTAGATACAGTGGAGTTAGAATTTAGCAATTAGAAATAGCCTTCCCTGCCCTGGCTTCTGTACTTGCCTCTAAATGATTGTGGATGAATGTTTCCAATCCAGAATGCTTTTATACACAAGAGCTGCAGATGTTTCATAGCTGAGAATAAAGCCAATCTTATTTTAATATATAGGTGGGAGATAAGAATCTTCTAGTGGATTCAAAAGTTCCATATGTTCCCTATTACCCTGATTTAACAAGAACATACACTTGTTCTCACTTTTTTATAGTTCAGGCACAGGTAACCATCTTTTGTATTAAGATACTACAAGTTAAGTTTCATTCTTCATAAGAACATACAGAACAAAGATACCACAGCAGAGGACTGGGAGGATGTGCACAGAAGGAATAAAGTAAACATACACACATGAAAAACATGAGTGATGGGAATAGGAGACCAGCTGGGGAGTGAAAGTATCTAATCTACATGGCCTGAGGAAGGCTATGTTGCAAGCAGACAAACAAGCAAATGAGAAAGTATCTCTGCATCTTTCTATCTCATGCAAGTTTCTATCTCATTTTAATCACAGAGTTTTAAGTCCAGGATGGCTGAAATGATTGAAAAAACTTGTTTAAACAGAAACTTATTTCCAAGCTAATATGAAGAAAAACTGATCATATTTGAAAGAAATATATTTGATGCAAATAGTAAAAATACAATGGGTCTGACCCTGCCCCAAGCAGTATGTAAAAATTAATTAATGTATTTAATGCAGAATGATTGCTGGTTCTGACATTCTCCTCCAGCTGCCAGCTCAATCCTTTTTCACTTCTTGAAGACCTCAGTAAAGTTACTAGCAGCCAGGCACTTAGAATCATAGAATACCCTGAGCTGGAAGGGACCTACAAGGATCATCAAAGTCCAACTCCTGGCCCTGCCAAGGACCACCCCGTGAGTCACACCATGTGCCTAAAAACATTGTGCAAATGCTTCTTGAACTCTGGCAGGTTTGGTGCTGTGACCACTTCCTTGGTAAGCACATTCCAGGGAAGATATTCTGGATGAAGATTTTTTAGCTATTTTCTAGTATCTAACTTACTTGCCACACAGTGCTCTTGTGTCCTGAACCTGTGAAGCCAGCATAATCCCACTTCCTCAGTGAGGCCTAAGGTGCCCAGCACCTTGTCCTTGACCCAGCTGTCCAGCCTCAAGCAGTTCTCCCCAAGTCTTACCTCAGTTCCTCCCATCACAAGGACTAATGTGTGCACTTAGCTTTTAATTTCTTAACTTCACAAAGCTTTAAATTGGAGTCATCCTCAGGCTATCCCCAACCCTCCCAGATATTTACTGAAGCGAGAGGATGTTCCCATCACACACCACTCAGAGTCCTAAATGGCATGCTATGTTTCAAGGCAATCCAACTAAGTTTAGAGGATTTACAAATGCACCTTTCCCTATAAAGGAGTTCTCAGAGAGGTATAAGGTGGCATATTCTTGATTGTAGACAAGCCAGGTTTTTTTAAACATACCCAAAGAATAAACAGCTGATAATTTAAAACACAAAATAAATAATACCTTAATTTGGACATTTTTCTGCATTTCACAATCAAATAGCTCCTATCAGAATGGCTGTCAGAAAACAACTGTGATTCATTTTAAAGACAGCAAATAAAATGCAAACAAAAAATAGGAATGCATTAATCAGTAACCACTACACACACAGGTACAGTACACATTAAAAAAAGCTACACCAGTTATTCATTAATCAGTGTGCAACATCAGTTCTACAAGTCCACCTAACTCCAACAGAGAAGGAACTGAGCTTTTCCTCTATTACAGTAATCACTACCTATCAGGTGAATTACTCCCATACAACCAAAGTACCTGCACTAAGTATCAAATAACACCGAGTCCCCAGAAAGTTGTCTTAAACTACTGATTATATGTTTCTTGGCTTGCACAGAAACACAACATTCAGTTTACAACACAGCATTGCCGAGTTTTGTGGTCTCTATTTACATGTTTGCAATAGCTTAGCTACAAGTCAGGAGTTCATATGCCTATTGGGACGTTGCACAGGTTAACACTGAAAATTGTGAAGTAAGCAGAGTTAGAGCTGTTCTCGCAGTAATCTGTGAATGTTAGCTCATTAACAACAATATTAACAGTTGGGAGTACTTGCCAATGAATATACTGATATTATTTGAGGATGTGTGTGGGGACATGCTAGGTAAAAAGAGTAGGTGGAGGGAAAAACAAAGCAACCTTCAAGAACTGATATGAGAGATCTACAAAACACTGCAGATAAACAGCAGCTCTCTGTTTCTAGCCTATAATGATCCAAAGCATCCTAAGCTAAAACTCACTTTTATTTGGCTGTGCATTAATATGTTCACATATCTTTTGGTACTGCCCCAGTGCAGTACCAGGTCATTTAAACTCCTAAGGTCCTTGTCACATACTGCCTGACAAACACACACATACCCACAGCAATAGTTGATGCTACAAGCACAAGGGCTAAGGAAACCCAACCCAAAGAAGTAAAGGCACAAGGTTTGGTGAGAATTATTGCAGGACAATAATTCTGACCAAATGTGCCAAAAGACAGCATCATCCCAGATGACTGGTAAGATAAAATAATATCCTGACTACTTCACTATGAGCATTTGAGTTAATTTGAAGAATCACTTGTCTTTTGCTGATGTATTATAAAATCAAAGAAATAGAGTGATTCCACTTGCCCTGCTTTCTCTTTAGGGAAAGACATCCACGAAACCCAGACAAGTCAGCACATATCAATCAATACCTGTACATAGCACAGGAGGCCGTCTCACTTACATTTCCATCATGATTGGGGCAGGAGAGCGGTTTGCCTGCAGCAACAGCAGTGACAGTCTCCAAGATGGAGGACTCCTCAATGCTGTTGTCCGGCGTTCGCTGCAGGACATCCATCAGGTTGGTAATAAAGAAGTTGTTCTGGAGTGCAGAAACCCCCTTCTCTGGCAGAATGGAGGTCTGGCGGCACACAGGGCAAGAAAGGGTTAAGCTATGGGCTGGAATGTAATTCTGTAAACACCTATGGGGAAGGAAGGTGGAAGGAGAAAGAAAGGAAAAGCATCATCAAAGAAGGAAAAAAACCCATTCATCAGTTAAAGAGCTAGTTTGAAATAGTGCTATCCCTACTTATAAAAGGAAAAGTACATCAAACAGACTTCTGAGCTAAAGTCGTTATGGTAATATCTTTTTCTTTTAAACCTTTTTTTTTACTCTGCCACCGGAAAAAAAAAAAAGGTTCAATAAGCAGACTTCATTAAAAGAGTTATAAACTTCACTAAAAAGTTATCTTTTTTTTCAGATATTCATGCAGTTGATCATGCTTTCAGACCCCTACTGCATCCTTCTCACAGGACAGTAAAAATTTTAAACTATCAGATAAAGTCTGACTGACCTGAAGTTGCATCAAGTATTTGAGCCTGTGCCTTTAACTGACTAACCAGTGCTTGACCTTTGTCTTTCCAACAGAATCATCTTTAATAACTTGTGTTTGTGGGTTTAGTCTTCAGAGGTAAAACATGGTCTCAATAAAACCAAAGGAAATTTTTTCATTTATTTCAATTTGGAAAGTTATTTGGCAGATAGCCAAAGTCAACAGAGCTTTCTTTACAACACAGAGAACTACCTGCTAGGTTATCACATTTTATGTTAAAGGGAGTTTTGGAGGAAAATTTTGTTTGTGTTTGATTGAAGGGGAGGGGGCAGTGTTGGGGTTTATACAAAAAAATTAATTTCACAGAGAATATATCTGACACAAAAGTTCAGCAAGCAACAATACACACAATATGCAGCAGGCTGACCTAGGTGAGACTTAATTCCACTTTTGGCCCTGAAATTGAAGTTAACACCTGGCTGGGCATGCAACTTACAGTTGCATGCAATATACCATATTCAGTATGGTCCTGTAAGCAGAAGAAGCTTTGCAGAACGCAGTTCTTAAGGGGAGCAGTGCTACACCAAATTCCTCATGGGATGCCAGCTGAGAAAGTGTGACCTCACACAACTCCACAGCTCTTATTCTTTTCCAAGGGTTTTGGTTGCACCACTCTTGATCTTCCCCTGGCAGCCCTCTTCCTGACCCCTCAGTAAGGGCTCCATGAAAGGGGAGCTTAGGCTTTGCACATCAGCACTACACTGGAAGAGTTCTTCCAGCCTCTCTCCATAACCAGATCAGCCGAAGAGGATTACAGGGTAACCTTAGGTTTTACACATGAGCAGAAGTCAGGAAACTTAACACACCATGGTGAAAATCTCACCTCACTGACTCCAGTAAGAGTTTCAGTGCTGCCTTTTTCAATGCTGGGATTTCCTATTCTCCCACAAAAGACCAGTTCATCTGACACAGACAGAAATCCATAGTTTTTCTTTCACCCTGTGCAAAGTTAGAGATTCACACCACAATTCTTGCTAAGAGGTGGAAATCTCCTAAATTAAATAAGTGTTCACGCCACATACCATTTATAAAAATTCTCCTGCCATTCAATATACAACCCAGAGTTGCATCCCATTATCAGATTAAGCTCTAACCACTAATTCTTCAGCTCACTTTTCTGCAGGTGCTGTATTTTCTCCACAATTTGATAGAAAATGCAACATTAAGGTATCATTATGCATATTCAGTTCATTCAGCCGAATACAGTAAAAGGCAGGTTGCTGGTTTATCACATTTCTTTGCAGAGTTTTCCCACTTCAGTCAACCAAAATTCAGAATAACAAAGACGTTTAATCTCAGGTTATTAATAATGTATATATCATGTCTAACCCTTTAACATTAAAGGATGGGATAATTACTTACTGGCTTAGTAAATCAACTAAGAATTTTTTCATTGTTTCTAATTATATAATAATCAAAATAAATTTGAGACAATTAATTTGAGGTCCAAACTCTGGCTATCATCACCTTTCACACTGTAGTAACCGTATTCATTAGTTTAATTGGATTTACTTTTTGTTTACTCTCACATAAAGGGAATATATTCCAAATATGCCACTGCTGTCTCTTCCTTCCTGCCTGCCACGAATGTGTTTTTCTACATCCCTGCCTTCCCAGCCTTGCCAGACTTTATCATGCCTTAACATAACATACACAAGTAAAGGGAAAAGTCCCTGTCCACCAAAGGATGCCTTGTCCTGTGCTTGCAGCACGACACACATGCTAGGTTAGCAGCATGAGGAAAGGACTTACCTCTCACAGAAAGTGTGCAGGCAGGGAAGCACTTTGGGGTTCTTGTAACGGTCCAGGCATATGCTGCAAATCAGAAACTGCTTGTCAATCTGACGGACCACAGGACTTGGGATGTTGGAGCCTTCACTGGCCATCCTAGACCACTGACATATGGGTCCTGTTCCCTTCTACCCTGCACGCTGCTGGAGCGGGGTGGGGAAAAGAAGAAAAGAAGAAAAATGGCTTATAAACTCCATGAAATAACAAAATCATTGACTAATCCACTCATGTTTTATCCTTATGCAGGAATTCATATTTCCATATAAAACCAAAACAAGAAAGAATTAAACTGCTAAAATGGTTTATCACTGATGAGAGCCAGGGAAACAGTCAGCAACATCTACAACACTTCTGTCTGAGCATTCTGGAAAGGCATGCTGCCTCTGGACTGAAAGAGTTACGGGGCTGTCTGGTTTTAAAGAAAACCCATGATAAAAACGTTCTCGCGCCAATAGGTTCAGCCAGTGCTAACAAACATCGGATTTCTTACATCTACAGTACCGCTGGCAAAATGCTCAAACTGGAACTGCACCAGCCAGTCAAATGGCTGCATCACAGACAGAGTTTGAAAATGGTTCATCTAACAATTTTTTCCCCCCTTTTTGGTGGCAGTATTGCCAAAAATAGGGTACATTTTGACTCCAGGAAGCCCCCAAGAAGAAAGCTCCAGAACCAGCCAGCCCCTGGGAAGGGAATGCTTAAATTCTGCATCACTAATAGGGATGAGGTAGGCAAAATGAAAATCCTCATGATAAAAAAAACAAAGCAAAGAAGAGACAACTGATAGCCACTGAGAATCAGCAACGGTAGGGTGAAGGATACATGAAGCGCATCCAAATAATAAATGCAATTAAAATGTCATTCTAGGCAGAACTAGTAGTAAGAATCGTGTTTCTAGGATTGAGGATTCTTCACAATCTGGCATATAAAGCATGAAATAAAAGGCTAAGAAAAAAGTCTACTAACTGTTAGAATTAAAATCGCAGGTTAAAGAGATGGCAGCAGGCTTGGAACGCCTCCTGTCCTGGAACAAGGCACAGGAGAGAAAAACGTAGGTTCTTTTCAGCTGGAGATACAGATTATAGCCAACAGAATAAAATGCGAAAAGAGAAGACAGAAGGAAAAGGAAGGAAGCAACCACAGAAAGAAGTAAACTGCCTGCTAAAATAATTTTGGAAAACCTGGCAAGCAGAGTCCCTGGCAGGGTGGCCCAGCAGGAACGCCTCTCCATCAGCATTTCTAGCAGGCTGAAGTGCCAGGAGGCGCAGGCGCGACTGTCGCAGCACTGAATTCTGCCAGACCTCCCACACCCACAGCAGAACCACGAGCTGCCAGCCCAGCTGGGCTTCTTCTCTGCAGGTACACTCCTGAGGGGTCTAACTTCTTCCTAAACAATTTCTACCCCTTTTTAGTCACCCATTTCAGACAATTTGAGGTCTAGCTTGAGGGCGGTTCAGGCTTTCCAAGACAGAAACAACAAGCCTTCTGCTGATCATGCTTAAAGGTCACTCAATTCCATAATTATTTGTGTGACCTGTGTAGCATTTTATTGTCAGTGTTACATTAGGTCTTCTTCCTGTGCTTCAATGAATGGCACAGTAGTCTGTCAGAGTTGAACCCATGCTGCTCTCCCTGAGCTGTGCACTTAGCCATACCGGTATGTTTTACTTACTACACTGAGCAAGGGGCTGTTTCTAGGATAATGACAGTGATTATGGACCGTAAGTCAGCTGTGCTGGCTTCCCTGATAACAGGTTTCTGGGGCATCGCCTCTGTGTTAGCAAACAGAGCAGCATAAAGTTATTCACAGTTCAAATACCCAACGGCAGTAACTGACATTTAATTAGATGAAAAACGCTTATGGCAGACCCTTTTGTTTCCTTTTGTCCTAAGGAAGGGGAAACTGCAATGATAAAAAGTGCTCTAATACTCATGTATTATGTATCATGTTTGTTCATGACCCAAAAATGCATGATTTCAGGATTGATGATATTTGTATGTCTTTTTAATATTTTTAAAGATTAAAAAAAAATTTCTTTCCGCATCATAAGATAAAATGTATTACATCAACTCAAATTATTTTTTCCTATTTAAATGCCATAAATCACCCAGATTAAACCTTAGGAGATCAATTAGCAAACCATGTTACTTTTAAAAAGCCTGAGTTAAAGGTGGCTTTACAAAAAATGGAACCAAAATATCTGGCTTTTACAAAACAGAGTAGAAAGACAATCAAAAACCCATTAACATATTCATACATTTGGCAGCATAACATGCAGAACATCAGTGACATGTTTCAAAAGGAAAATTCATTTTACCACTTACACAGCTGTGTTTGCCTCCCACTCTCCCTCCCCAAATTTTGGGGCAGGGACCCAAACAGATCAGGGAAGATAATCAGAAGCAGGAAGATTTCTTATCAAAAGCATGGTTTCCAAATTGGACACACAAACATGTGTAATTTTTTTGTTATAAACTGTTACTTTTTTTGTTATACTGGAAAAAGCTGCACTTAAGATATGAAAGAACAGGTCTCCAGTGAATGCTGCCTGTCATTTAACAGAAAAAAGTTCTCTAGCAACCAGGTATTTTCTGTATTTCATTTTTCCCTTATCAAGTAAAGCTACAGCAGCAAATAGTGCTTACAAAAGAAAATCTGCTGCTGTCTGAAAAAATAAATATTGATTTAACCTGTTTCTCATCTTAGTTTTTCACATTCCCCCAATGTCATTGCAAAATCAAGTAATTCCTAGCATTTCATCACAAATCTCATGCCAGCCACTTTATTTTTCAAATGCTCACGCTTTAAGCTTTGTCAATGAAAGAAACCATTAATGATTTAGAAATAAGTGCTTTTAATATTCTGTGTTTTGTCTGAAATGCAGCAGGCCATGACTGTCATTTGTCCCCTATGCTCACATAAATCAGATTTAATAATGCACCTGGAAATAGAATTTGAACTGTACGTTTCAAGTTTTGGTCACTACCTGGTACAACAACTTCTTACACAAAAGGTCCCTTTAAAAAAACCTTTTAAGTATGGGATTTGCAGGATTCTGCAGACTCTCTAAGGCAACTCCACCTTTGATGTAATCTCGATGAATGCGATGAAACTATGAGAAGGATGATTTTTCCCATTTACTCAATGAAAGAAACTGTACAATCAATGACTACTTGAAGAAAACCTGGAGATTTTAGACAATGTTTTTTAATTTCACCACACTGTATTTTTTCTGATTTACTAGAATGATTGCAGCAACCTAAGTTTTTAATGTATTAGCAGTGGGAGAATTTGCAAAGTAATGGAACTTTTAGAAGAAAAATGTTCTTTTTTTTTTTTTTAGTAGCCTCTTCTGATCTCAAAACCTGCCAGAGCGCTTTTCAAAGGTTCATTTTGTCTCACAATCAAAATAGAGCATCTGAAGCATGAGCTTTGAAAACAGGGCTATCACTTCTCCATATAGTTACACTTGGTAATTCAGACATGCAAAGCTGAAGGACTAGGAACCATTGCACCAAACAAGACATAAACCCCCACCCATTTATCCATAACACACACACTCAAAACCAAATTCAGGTTCGCTAAACCAAGTGCAGTAAAGGGTTCTGAAATGTACTCCCTTTGTCGTCCTTTCGAGGCTCAAGAATCTCTATTTCCGCAGCCACCCCAGAAACAGCAGTAGTCTTTTTCCTCCTGCTTGTAGGTACGATTTTAATTTAAAATATACTAGACAGCAGAGAGGAGAAAACAATGGCTCTCTAAGCTAGTGGAAAGCTTTGCCCCGCTATGCATGCATGCCTTCAGGAAAGCCAGGGTGCGGCCCCACCCATATGAAAGGAACTTCCTATAGCACTGGAAAAGGGGGGAAAGAAAAAAAAAATCACATTAGGTATAGCAAATAACAGTTCCAGAAGAGTTGTTACAGGTAGACAGCGACATGTAATAGAAAAATGCACCCTTTCTACAGGTATCGTCAAACGAGCTCTGGAACTCCTGAAAATTCTCTATTAGTTTCCCAGCCGAGAAAAGACATTGGGGAATCAAGTAACTGTTCACTTCATAGGCTTTTATTCCTAAAAGAGTAGAATTCCGTGTTACTGATACACTGCTGTCTCTGAAATCCACCCAGCCAGAGCTGCAACTAGCCTGAAAGTACAGCCTGAGGAGAACAAATTGCTTGCAGCTTATTCATCCTCCTCTTATCAATGGTATTCACAACCTAGAGGGTCTATTCATGTACTATGAATGAATAGGTTTCCAATGGCAACCTTTCCAAAGGAACAGTTAGGCCTCCAGAGCCATAAGAAAGGGTGGGGAACCTCAATAATGTTGCTTCAAGGACTGGGAGAGTTGAGGCTTAAAAGTCCGTAAACAGATACATCACCTGTCCACAGTCTGTAGGAATAAAGAACAAATTCAAGCCATTTCTAGCAGCAGCCCCCAGATCAGCCAACACAGAACACACTGAGCAAATCAGAACCGCCACACAGTCCACTTGTGTAAAAGGCTTGATAAGCTAAATTTGCATTCCTTTCTCTCCCACTCTTGCAATCAGCTTACTGCCTTGTTTAAAACACAGCAACCCTCTTCATTCTTACAGCATGCAGAAATGTAATGAACGATCAGGGGCCAAAACAGGAGCAACCCAGCAGCAGTCACCAGGAATAACACTGAGCAAACTTGAGCATTTCAGACCTACCCATCTTTGTAGAAAAATAGCTTAATCAGTGCAGTGCTGAGGATAAAATCCTTGCAGGGACGGAGCTGCAGTTCCGCAGTAATCCAAACGAACAAACCATCATCTGTTAATATTTCAAGCCTCACTCATGAAACTATTAAGGAAACCCTATCACAGCACAATCATTATTAGAGGCACAAGAGATTTTGTGCTCTAAGGAATGACACTCCATTCCATGAGGAGGACAGGTGGAAAGAAAAATGGAAGAATAAGAGGAGGCCCAGTGAAGTCGTCATGAATTTTTTTTTTTTCTCCCTGGGTCATTTACAAGTGGGAGACCCCCTCAGGATTCAAACCAATCAATCTTTATTTAGCACATCCTTTTCTCACTCAGCCTGTGTAGAAAGACTGCAGCAAATGGTGCAAGGGATTGTGGGATGGGGATGCAGCAGAGAGCTGCAACCAGATTCGCTGGGTTATTTTTTTTTCCTCCCTACTCAGCAATCAGCTGTTCCGAGGCTCCGCGCAGGGCCATTGAATTTGGTCACCAGAATGTTATTACAGGATTAGCAGGCGGAGACAGCTACCACTGTGCATCTGGCATGTCAATGCAGCTAAGAAATACATATGCAAATATTACTCACAAATCGGAAAAAGGATTTAACTCCCAAGGAGAGAGTAAATATTACGTAACATCCATTACCAGGACAGCTGCCAGAGATAAAACGAAAGCACTTTCGTTTAAAAAGAAGATAAAGTTTAACATTTAATGATTCCACTCGGATTTTTCTGGGATTCTGGGTATTTCTTGGAACGTAATTCTTCCCTGCTCCAACTTTCAGAAGCAACAAAAGACCCCACAAACACTCTTTGTTCTCTCTCCAGATGTTTAAAGCAGAAGCAAAGAGCCTCTCTGGAAAACTGTGCTACTGACACACAAACCAGCAGCAGCTTCCTCTACTACAGAGCCATATATCTGACCGGACTCAGTCTCAAGTCAAATATTCAAGGCAGCAATCAGCAAACTCATATTAAAGGAATTTGAGAATCAAGGCTAACAGACTGTCCAACTTTTCCATAAACATTAATGCAAAGGTGAATTATCATAGTTGATCCAATTTTTCTTTTTAAATTCACAGATCAACTCTGATTTTACTAGGCTGTTACCAAAGAAATTTAAAAAAAAATATTGGTGCCTGCTATTTTTCAGCTATGCAAAGAAGATTTTTAAAAAGATGCTTGTGAATACACAGACACCACTGAAACAACATAAAGTAAAGCAACATAGAATTAGCTTTGTCTTCCAGTATAACAGCTGGTGGGTTTTGCAGACAAGGTAGTATTTGCATCTCTAAATACAGTCTATCTTTTCTTTTGAAAAAAACAAATCGTATGCAAGTATTTCAGCTGAGGCTAACAAAGCTTCCCACAAATAAAAGAACATAAAGCTCCATTTGCATAAAGAAGAAAACGTGTGGAGCTTAAATACTCTCTTTACTACCCTGACTTAATTAGGACAGATATAGCTATTTTAGAAGTGTAAAATGTTGTCGTAAGCTCTTTAAGCATGGTTTCCAGAATATAATATTCATTTCATTACTGAATTGATGAGTAACATAGTATTATTAATAATTTAGTGTTACTGTAGAAATGTAATCTAAATTCCTGTTAAAAATACAAATTCTGCACACATCCTTTACTTTCCACTTGGTGATCATTTAGCCACATCATTTTATGCATCAGGCAGATCTAGCCTGGTTTCCCTGGACAATGCCCACAGGGTGAAGGCATGTTGTAATCCAGTTTATAACCTGAAATGAAACATCAGGCAGCGTGTGTGCATGTATTAGAGTTTGGGGTGCCTGTGCCAAAATACTGCCCCTCTAACTCCCTTAATGTGTGCTGAACACAATCAAAGAGAGAGCACAAGGTATGTTTCATTTTAGCCCCAATGTTCAGGAGCAGCAGGCATCTGTACAGCAAGATTCACAGTTTAAAAGAAGGCCAGAGATTTCAGGCATGTTTTTGGAGAGGTGAGTTTTTTATCTTTGGTTCAGGGAATTTTTTGGTTTTCTATTTAAACTGTCTGGGGAATCCCTATTCAAAGAACAAACAACAGATTTCACTCCCACAAGAAGATCCAAGGCCTTTTGTTTCTGCCAGTGGAACAGGGACACTTAAAACAAAAATCAAGTGAGAAAATTCACAAGTGGCACCCCCAGAATGAAGTGGAAGACTGTTGGACAGAAGCATGCAGACATCAGTTAGTTGCTTGCTTTCCCTTGCTCATTTCAAACACTGTATTTACATACAGTAAAACAGAATGACCAGTATCACTCAAATTACGATTTCCATGTACGGTCAGTAGCAAGGACTACATACCCTTCAGAACTGATCCCATAACATACCTCATGGCCAAAGGAGACTGCTGGAGCCACAGCTGCAGCTACTCTCATAGGGCTGAGAAATACACCTCCAAACAAGAGATTCCTTCAAAATGATGTTATCTTACAATTAACTCTGAGAAGTTGCCTGCTAACAATGAGCTGATACTCCACAAATTATCCTGCTTCTTCAACAAAACAAAAACTTGCTCCTGTGGCAAGAAAAAATGAGACAAAAGGCACAGCATTTCCCTGAGATTTTTCTTGTTACATGTTGGTATGTGGGTTTGTTCTCCTTAGCGAAGAGGAAGAGGATTGAATCTTGCACTTTACCCCCACAGCAGTTACAACCAGACTCTTTCAAATAGGTTTATTGTATGTGTATGTCTTTTGTGCTGGGAGATGGGGGTGGGGGTGGTCATTATATGCTTTGTTTTGTTTGTTTTTCTGTTTTTATTTTAAAAAGAATAGGCTCTTTTCCTCAGAAAATTGCTGCATTTCATTGTTGCTGTTGACTTATCTGTGTCACTGCTGAGTACTGAAGAAAACTCCAGAGAAGAAAATACATAGTACATGCCATCATCATATTGCCATGGAAGAGTGATCTAAGCTTCTGATGTCATTCCCTGTAAATGTCCTGGGATTTGAATAACTTACTCTTCTCCCCGTTCCAAACACAACCTGAATTCATGTTCTTATGGAGGCCATAAATATTTAGCTACCAAAAAAACCTCACAGTTAGCTTAGAGGTCATAGGTAGATACTGATATCTTCCCTAATATTAGATAAGTCATCCAAACACTCCAAGTTAAGATTAATGGTCTGCACTAAAGCCTATACTATAAACTGACTGAATGGAGAGTAGTCTAGCTCACCCTTCTGCACAAAAGCAATTTTAAGGTCAGCAGAAAAAAAAATAAAAATTGGGTTAGTTCAAACTAAATGACCAGCTAATACAGTCCTGGCAATTAAGGCTGACACAAAAGTAAGAGATGTGAGAGACCAGAAATCAATTACCCAAAGCCAACATGCTGGAAATGAGGATTAGTTTCGGAACACAACTATAGAATACCATGGGCTGTTACAGCCATCACCCAGCTCCACACATCCCTAATTTGAACCTGGTGACAGGAGAGCAAGTGAAGTGAAACAACCAAGCTTTGTCATTGTGGAGCCATGCCCACACCAGGAATCAAGGTCCTTATGAGTCCTCATGAGCCAGTGGCCTTTACCTTTCCCCACTTTGGCTGTGCACCCATGCAGACCCAGCAGCTTCCAGAGAGTAAGTACAATTTCCAGCCCTCACTCCACATCCTCCAATAGTCCAGGCTGTAGCTCACATCATCTGAGAAGAGCAACAGCTTCCTCCCATTTGGGTTTGTAGCCAGAGGGCATTTACCCCAAAAGGAGCTCTGCTAGGTTCTGGTTCCTTCCCACCAGGCACAGCCGTGAGCCATGGTTACTCCCTCATTTTATGATCCAGCAGAGCAAATGCTTTTTCCCAAAGTTTGTGACCCAATACAAGGGATTTGTCATAGCCTGGGAGGCAAACACCTTGAAAGGTCTGCCTAGGATGTAATGCTGGGTTGCTGGAAACTTTCCCAGCAGCCCAGCACCCATCCTCCTATGACTTTGCCACCATCTTCTATTTCCTTCTGCCTATGCCTGGTTTAGCTTGCCAAGGTTGCAGCTTTTTCAGCACGACTGCAGCATGGCTGGGACAGCCTGGCCTCCCTGCTCAGCCAGCCTGAGCCTTGCTGGCAGGACTGCACTTCCTGCCTCTCTCCACCACTGAAGTTGCAAGTCAGGCAGCACCAGACACAAACTGCTTTTCTCCCCTCCCTGTTATTCCTTCTCTCCCCGCTATTGGGTATCTGCCATTGAGGTGGCACTGCAGTCAACAGAAACAAGCTCAGTATTATGGCATTCTTTCTGCACAGCAATGGGCTCACCTTCAGTATCAGATGTGTGTCAGATGCAGGTATCATTAATTAGATTTTTTTAAAAAAGGTTTCAGATGCTGAAGGCACAGGAATAACAGGAATAGAAGCCACTGCTACAAATTAAAGCCTTGCTTAATCGTGTTACATGTTTAATGATTCATTCTTTTTTCTTCCTCCTTTCTCCAGCGTGTAATCAAAGCTTACAAAAGGGTGAGCCCCTGAAACATGGGTGGACCTCTTAAAACAATCAACATACTAATGCTTTATACTCCAGTTTGTACAGGGAAGGTTATGACTGGCATCTAACACCCACATTTATTCTCTTTTCATCCCCAGGACTTGTGCCTCTGCAGTACCCCCTCTCTATTCCCTTCTGGAGGTGAATAGTCCTGCTTCTATCCCCAGAGACTCCATCTCCCAGATGTCCTGTGCTTGGATGGAGAAGAGACCTGCTGGTGGCTTCACTGCACACACCAAGGGGCAAGTCTAGCAGGTTAGAGCTTGAATGATCACATAGCCATCACCAACTGAGAGGCTATTTGTCCGTCTGAGGTTTTCAGGACCTCATTTTGAGTCAGGGCCTTGCACAAGAAATTCCAAAACAGCCTGAACACACTAAATTTACTGCACATGTGAGGACAACGCATGAATGGGCATCCGTGAATCCTCAACCAACTACCCCAAATTCTCAAAAATGAAATTTCAAAGAGAAGGGGTAGGATATTAATGAAAAGGACACACCAAGGGAAATAACAGGTTAAAAGTATCAGGTTAAATTACAGCATCAGAACTGTAATTTAGGGCCCTTTCCATATTTTATAAAATATCATATTCTCAGGTGAGCTCCTAAAAAAATCTGCAGTGAGGTATGTTGAAGTAATTATTTCAGGCACTAGATGTTATTCAGCCATAAGTAAAAGAATTTTAAATTGTATATTTGCCATCCAAAGCAACGAGTCAGACATCTCCACTGCAAAAAACCTACCCTGCTGACTTATCACCCTTACAGTTGCACATTTTTGACTCTCCAGGTCTACCTATTTTGTGAACACTGACAGATCTCTGTTCAGCCTTCATAGGTACACAGGCTCAAGTAAAACCAAGCTGAAGTGACAAATAATTAAAACTGCATATCAAAACATTGCTGCTTCCATAAACATCTGCTGTGAAATGCTACTTGAAATAAAAGTACTCCATGAAGATTCCATACTAATTACTGTTAACACTCCCAGGAGCAGGAAAATGGGCAATAGAGCAAAAAGAAGGAGGCTGATCAGGAATCCATTTGGAAAAAGGTCCCTTGTCTTTCCTATGTACTTTTAGATATAAGATATGCTGAAAAATGCTCTAGGCATTTTCTTCAGAGTTGCTGAGCAACAGAGAAAAAAAAAAATGCAAGCAGAAAATGCTCAATGCTTTTGGTACTGAACTGTGTGGTGAAAACTGTAGAGACCATACCCTCCACTCACTCCTGAGACTGGATCTGCCCCACTGCATGCCCACTGAGGCTCTTCCTTTAGGAGAAGTAACAGACATCATGTGCTGGAGTTTAGTCACATTCTCTGATGACCACCAAAAAGTTCCTCTATTGTTTCCATTTAA